TACACACAGAATAGAAGTCTCATATAAGAAGAACTTCAGAATCCCTCCCAATCCTGTCTTCCATTTGTGGTGGGACATGATTTTCTAGCAAAAGCCAACATTTTCAACGGCAAAGAAAAGTGTTGGGTTTCCACATGGTAAAATGAACTAATGCTTTTCAGTATCTCATGAGTAACTGGGAAGAAGACCCAGCCTCTCCTGGAGTGTAAAGTACCTTGTCACTCTCATCACATCTCACCCTCCCGGGTCCTCTCTTGGGTGCCTGACTATGACCATGCCTTCGATCCTGCTATTCCCAATATGTGGAGCTGCCTGCTTCCCTGCCATTCCCATGCAAATCCCACACTTAAGGTCAAGTTTCAAAACCCACATCCCACACACCTTCCCAGACCACACCCAAACTGCAATGATCCTACCTGTTTGTGCAATCTAATACATCCCTTTGACTTCCTTACTCTATAATCTATTTAATTATATATTGCTTTATATACTTTTTAGTTGCTTTATGAGAATTTTTCTGGTCAGCAAGTTTATAACTTTCTAAAATCTATTCTAAAAAAATAGAGTTTATATAATCAGTCATGAGCAGGCACCTCCCATGCTTAGCAGGCACGCATCTTCAGGGTGGTTGCCATCACCATCCCATTACCTTAGAGGGAGGGCACCAAGAGTGATGGTAAGATGCAAAATATTAAAAAGCAAAATCCTAATATAGGATTTATTTCCACCAGAAGAAAGCCACGGTCCTAAGAGTGTCAAATGAGAAAGACGAGGTAGAAGGGAACTAAAGAGATGACATGTCACAGAGAGGTGCTGACGTACCTACCTCCCCTGCCCCATGGCGGGTGTCATGCCTGTGTTCTCTGTTGTCCTCCATGATGTCCTGAATTAATCCTCCTGCCTACTGCTGCTGCTGCTGGGCCTTTTGAGCAGTTCCAGCTTGCCCTAGAGAAACTGTGACATTTCAGTGGTGGGGGAGGTTACTCCTCTGTAGAGTATATCAGTCGGGAATGCCGTTGGAAGAAAGACACTATTTATTGTGAAATGGGAAGAAATTGTTCAAAAGAAAAAGGAACTGGGATGGGTAGAAGGGGAAAGGACAGTAGCGAAAAGGAAAAAATGCAAGTCAGTTATACTATCAGGGTCTCTTAGTTCGTTAAAAAGAAAGGTTTGCGCTAATATCGTTTGGAGAAATTTTTATGCACACCTGAACAGCTACTTTAAGGATAACAGCATGTCATGTATAACTGTTGTTACTCTATTTTGTTATAAATTTTTGTTTTGCCTTTATTCCATAAAATTTGAAAAAAAAAGTAATATGACATTGTGCTTGCTTTGGCAGCATATGTCCTAAAAGTATTTTGCCATTACTGTGTGCTTGCTTTTAAGAATTTTTCTCTTAGAGTTTGGTCTTGAATTGCTGGTCTATGATTCATCCAGGCATGCTTTGTGCTTTCTGATTGTTTTTAACTGAGTATGCTAAGGAACTGAAGACTTATTTTTTCTTTTTTCTGTCTGTTCGAGACAGGGTTTTGTTTTGCAGTTCAAACTGGCCTTGAACTCACTTTGTAGCCCAGGCTAGCCTAGCCCTTGCAGTGATCCTCCTGCCTCACCCTCTTGAGTGCTGGGATTACAGGCATATGTTACAATGCCTGGCCTCTTTTATTCATTTTTGAAAAAAAAATCTTGGTCATCGTCTTTTCAAATATTGGTTATTACAAATTTTTACTCTCAGCTTTGTAGAATTAAGATCATATGTATCTTAGAGTTCTCATGTAACTACTATACTTCTGCGTATTTTTTCCTCTTTGTTTTTATTTGAACATTTCTATTGATTTGTTTTGCTTCTACTAATCTTATAGTCATTTATGCCTATGATTTTAATACATGTAAACAGTTTTATGTCTGATGTTATATTTTTGTTATAGAATTAATTTCAAAATTTCAATTCCTTAGTAAAATTCTTTTTATCTAAAAACAAAAGAAGAAGAGGAGGAAGAGGAGGAGGACAAAGAGAAGGGAACTATTCCTTTGACAATTTGGGACATGAATTAAAAATAGAAAAGCAAGTCCAAGCTCTATGCATCCCTGGAAGGCTGTAAAGTAGAGCCTCCCATTTCAAGCCGGCCACCACACATCTGCCATAACCAGTTCATCCCACTTTCCAATGGGAATACATGGGCTGTAGCATAGTTAAGGAATGCTTTTGTCACAACAAGGGAAAGGAAGTAAACTGAGGAATGGGTTACTGGAGAAGTGATTTCTTTAAAATGACTTCTGGGATAAGCTCCCGGAAGTGGGAAATTTCGGATGCCTTAAACCGTGTGTATGAAGTGCTGCCATAGTGAACCAGAGTGCCACAGAACATGGCTAACAAGTTTGGTTCTGGTCTGTCACATGGAGATAGTTACCAACCTAGAAAATATTGTAACAGCCTCTGCCACCACCAGCAGCTTACATTTGATCTTAGCCAAAAGGCCAAGAAGCAATCATCATTAATTTAAGAGCCCAGAGTATTAAACACAGGGACAGCAGAGTTACAATGGCACCCATCAGAACCGTGGGAGTTTACTGAACTAGGGAAGACTCTGGGTCTGGCAGTTGTTCCAAGGAGGAAATTCACAAGAGAAGGGAGTCCTGGGCTTTTCTAAGAGTTTAGGCTACCATCCTGAAGCTGATGGCCTCAAGAAGAGTGTCTAAATGGCTATCTTTTGTTTGGGTTGCTCCTCATGATAGTGTATAAGCTTCTGAAATAACACAAATCCATTCAGATTACGGAATTTTGCTTTTCCTGAAAATAAGATACTTTGAGCAATATGTAATCACTGAAATCTCTTTTTCCACCCTCAAGTCCTAGGAATTGAACACAGGGCTTTGTGCATGCTAATCAAGCACTGTATCACCGAACTATACTCCCAGCACTTTGTGAATTTTGTTTTGAGATAAGAGTGTTCCCAGGTTGGACAGGCTGGCCTTGCACTTGGGATGCTCCTCCTTTAGGAAGACTTGGGATTACAAATGAGTACCGCTATGCATGGTAAAGTATTTTTTAATGAAGAGAATTTAGAAAATGCTCACCAGAAAGTATGGCAAAAATGAAATGAGGGATGAATTAGTAACAGTTTTACAAAAGCAATTTTACCTCTGTAATGTCTAATTGACTTAGGAGACTTCTAGTTTAAACTGAAGAGCAGAAGTTAATGTTTACTCCACCAGTTAAGTTCTCATACTGTTAGCAATATTCAACCTCACAATAATCTGTAAGAACTCTTTAGAGGTAGTCAGACTTATACAAACGAAAAGCAAAATTACAGTTGAGGGGGAGAGATGCAGCTTTTGCCTGGGCATAAAATATTGCTCCACGAGACTAGGAAACATGTCACCATGGTAAGGAATTTGGCTCTCTCCCCGTGTGAATTTCTTTCACGGAGCATTGGGCACTGTGAGAAAGATTGCATCCTCTTAACTCTTGCAAAAATCACAATTTTTACTCTTCAAAAGGCAAACCCCAGAGATAAAAATAATGACTTGTCCCCTGAGTGGTTTTAGCTAGCGGGGTCACCTAATATTCAGCTTTCGAACCGGAAGACAGCTCTCTTTGTGGACCACATCTTTGAAATGCTGGTGGAAAAGTCTCAACAGCTTCCCCCATCCTTTATCCCAAACACAAACCCAAATGCTAGAAACTAAAATGGCAGAAACTTGGGCTCTGTTGAAGCCTGCACCCCCAAAGCTGGGCTGTGTCTATGTGGTGACACTTTTGGTTTGATCAATGAAACCAGCATGAGTCTTTGTGGTGAGAAATTCAAGAAAGTGTAATCTTCCTGATGATGTTTCCTATGCCACACTGCCAGATGTGATGTTAAAATTCTCACCTCTGCGGCTCTTGAGTTACTATCTCTTCCTCAGCTTGGTGATGGAATAGTCCGTTAGTGTTTTAAATTACTCTGAATATAAAGGGTTAAGCTAATAAAAGTTATTTTCCTTTCAATGAATTTTGTTTTATTAACTAATGATAAAAAGACCCTTTTATACATATTATAATGATGGAAAATCAGGTTCTGTTAGTACCAATTATCTTCAAATTGTATTAGCAAGCTAGGTGTAGTGGCACATGCCTGTAATCCCAGCACTTAGGAAGCTGAGGCACAAGGAGCATTGGGGGTTAGATGCCAACCTGGGCTATAAAGTGAGCTCAAGACCAGCCTGAACTGGGTCATGAGATTCTGGCTCAAAAAGACCAAAGGGAAAAAAATCATACACACAAAACCACACACACACACACACACACACACACACACACACACACACACACACACACATTGTATTAGCAAGCCTAAAGAGGTCCTGATCAAACAGAAAGGAAAGGAAAAAGCACTTTAAAGATTCATTTCTTCTATAACCCCAGAAACCAATAATATGAAGATGCAAAAAAAGTCCTTTTTAGTTTACAAAATATATTATCTTTGATGGGCTATAGCCCATTGTTATGGTTTGAATAATTGTCACCCCAAAGTTCCTAGGACCTCAGAATGTGAACTTATTTGAAAACTGGGTTGTTGCTGATGTATTTAGTAAAGATGAAGTCATCCTGGAGCAGAGATCCTCATAAAAGGGAAACTTTGCCCACAGACACACATCCAGGGAAGATAACTTACAACTGATGACGATGACAGAGATCAGGATGACACAGCTACGCATCAAAGAATGTTAGAACTCCCCGCAGTTAGGAGAGAGGGAAGGAACAGATTCTCCCTCACAGCCAACAGAAGGAACCAATCCTGCCAACACCTGGCTTTGGATTTCTAACTGCTAGAACAGTGAAATTATTAATTCCTTTCTTGAGCCATTTAGTGGGTGGCCCTTTGTTACAGCAGCTGTAGGAACTAGAGCTGCCCATGCAGAAGATTTGATCACTGGCATAACTTACATACTTCAAAAACCATATTCTTCCATGACACAGTTATCTTCAAAAGGGGGGAAAAAAGTTTGATTCTTACTGTCAGTTCCTGGGGAACAGAATTTGGCTTCTTGATGTTGATCTCAACGCTGTTACTGGCTTGTTTCACGTCCACCGGGGACCCATGCACTCTGGCCACACCTTCAAACATCTGGGATTTGGTTAAGGCAGGGCCAGGTGCCGGTGCAGGATTCTCTTTCTCTTTCTCTTTCTCTTCCTCCTCTCCATGGGCTGCCTCTCCATTCAGGCTGACTTTCCCATCTACCTGTAAAAGCCAGAATGAACAAAAAACAAGCTCTTCTGCAACCAAAGTCAGTGACAAAGTAACCCCTCCAGGTTTACCTACAAGAATTACTGTTAAATAATCACAGTCCAACAAAGAATGAGCTCTGTCAAATGCTTCCATGGGTTTAGAAGTCAGGTTTCTATACACGCCATCTTTAAGGGCCTCTTTACAAGCTGTCAGACTTAGATTATACTTTATGTCCACCTGATTTATGGTATGCTTTTGTTTTTAAGTATAGAAAACCAAGGAATCTTAAATGCAAACACATGCCACATATTTAGGTTGTAGTAATTTTTCATTTAAGTTCTAACTGCTGTTCCAGAATTGGGACTTTACCACGCAGTAGGAGCAGGAAAACGGATGTTTTCTTTGAAGCACCCATAGAAAGCAGGGGATCCGATTCTATGCCATGTTACAATAAATCCCTCTTTCTAGTCAAGTTTACTGCCCCAGCTCCTTCAAGACTAAAAGGAATGCACATTAAAGTATTTCTGTTCTTCACTTAGGTCTAGGGAAGGCAGTGAGGCGAGTGTGTAGCCAGCTGGTTCAGCATCTAGAAATCTCTGCTGGCAGCGTGAAGCAGAATGAGCATAATTATAAGAGCAAGGTCTGCGGTGAGGTGACCTAGGATTTCAAATCCAGGCCCACCACTCAGTAGCCACAGGATCTCCAACAAGCTCTGCTTTCCTCTGTGTCACATGCACAGTTTAACTTAATAGCGCTCTCCTCAGAGTGCTCTTATGGGGGTTTGTTGTTACTGCTGGGAGCTAACATATACACAGAGTTTAGAACAGAATCTGATACATTTTAGGAGCTTAAATATTAGCTATTATTATGGCATCTAAACTCTTCTTGAAAGAAATAATGGAAGCCTAGGAATCAGTTACCATTATTTGCTTGGTGCCACTGGTTTTTCATACTTTATTATGTTACCCATAAAAATGTGAAAACCACAACTCAGCACACGTTCCAAAAACAGAACTTTCCCAAGGCAATATATGTTTATTGTGTGTGGCCACTATGCTGTTTTGTATAATATTCTATTTCACTTCATTTTAAAAATGCCCATTATGAACCACTACATTGACTTAATAATGTAGCAACTGATGCAAACTCTTATTTTGAAAATTAATGCCTTAAACTTTTTAAAAACTATAGTATGGATATTTTATTTTATTTTATTTTGAGATAAGGATCTTCCTATATTGTCCAGGGTGGTCCTGCATTCCAAGGTTCAAGCAATCCTTCTGCCTCAGCCTCCAAGTAGCTGGCACTGCACTCATGCCCCTCCATGTCCAGCACTTCCTTAACTCTGTTGTTCTGAGAAACAACTGATCCGTACAGTATGCACTGCCTTCTCCTTTCCCCAAGGAACACACACATGCAAGCACTTCCCCTAGCTTCCACCTGGCGTTTCCTGGGAACTACTCCCTTATTTACCTACTATTTGACTGTAGATCTCCACTGACCCACTCAGTGATGGAGCTGTAGGCTGTCAGTAGAAGCAACAGCCACCAAGTCAGTGTTGAGTCTAAGAGGCACTCACTAGCCGAGAGGGAACTCCAGCTTTTAAGACCTCGACTCAAGCTACCACCATCTCCCCTCCCTCCAAAGGTCTCCTGAGGCCCCTACACCATCTAGCACCTATGGAGAAGGACAGAGGTTTCCTGAGTCTAAGTTTTATCATAAAGTCATTTATCGTAACTCTTCTTTACAAATGATCGCACTGCACTCTTTACACAGAGGAAGGGAAGTGTGTATCTAAACGATCTGATCAGAACCTCAGTTAAATAAAGGTACCTTCTAATACTGTTCAGGGCCACCTCAACATAGAATATTTCCTTGGTGGAATGTCACTCATTGATATGGGACCCAAGTAAAAGAGAGTGGACAAATACCCAGGTGGACCACTGAGCACTTTAGATGTGTGTATATGTGTGTGCATGATCTGCATAGTTCATAGATCATCTCGGGAAAACTTAATTTTTTTTTCACTAAATGCAATGCCTACCATGTCTTTGGCACCAATGCCAGGTTGTTAGGATAAAGCTGTGATAAGTAAAGACACAGCCCCACCGGGGATGTAGCTTGGCAGTACAGTTCCTGAGTTCGATTCCTGATACCAGAGGAGAGAGAAGACAGCCCCTTCCTTGAAAGGACAAACATGTCACTTCAATCCAGATGAGACAGTTGGAACATTGTTCCAATCCTGTCAAAGCTTAAGACCCAGGTTTTTAAAATCAGTTCAGAATTCTTTAAGCAAAAGTCAGAAATTGTTTGATTGTGAAATTCACTAAGGAAGATGCACGACATCATACTGCTCAACTAGCTGAGCTCCATAGACATCTTAACAGTCATAACTGCCACATCCCCTAAAAAGGTGGATTCTATCTCTGTCTTCTATTATAATGCCTGTGGTCTGCAAGGACAATGAAAACTGATTTTCTTTGAAATCAAAAGAGCTTGAGACAAAGGGTGAGTGTTTCCTCACTATAGGAGGGAAAATACTGGAATCTGAGGATGGAAAAAGATGTTTGACTGTCAAAGGTTCTTTGGCTCTGGAACATTATTTTTACCTATTCACTGGTAAAACAAGCCAGTCTGTTTCCACTTAAGAAAAAACCTTGGTCCTCATCTGAGGCACAAGGACATTCCATGTTCTCAAGTGTTCCTTGTATTTTTTTTCCAATTGTAACATCTTTCTGGATATGATGTCAATCTCTTTCTAAAAGATCGGTAGCTGTACATATTTCTATTTAAAGCAAAAGTACTTAAAAAGTTTGTGTTGAGGAATCTCGTATCTCCAGATCACTGAAGATACTCGGGTGTCACTGAATTAGGGTTTCTTCCCACCACTGTACAGAGACCAGGCCATTCTGTCAAAGTAGAAAACAGACCTTGCTATGGAGATGACTCAACTATCTATTTCCCTGGGAGCCAACAACCTTTAGAATAGTAACCCAGAATTGTCCACCCTTCATTTACAGACAAAATCTCCCACATTAGCAATGATAAATGGTAACACATTTGACTTTTTGTTTTGTTAAAAATAATTGCATTTCTTTGAACCAGGGTGCTTCTTTTCACCGACCACCTAGAGTTCAGTTTTGGTCCTACTCTTAACCCGTCCTACCTTAAAGGTCTTCAGAACCTCTTGAGAGTTTTTGGGTTGGGAGTAAGGCTTGGGGGTCAGCATGGGTACTGCTTTGGGAGTCACAGTTTTGCTTGGAGACCCACTGCCTGCTGACATGCTGGTATCCCCACCACTGGCACGGGCAATGGTGGTTTCAACAGTGGCAGTGAATTTGGGTGGAGGCAGTGATTGTTGCCGTAGATACTTCATGGGGCTGGGGTCGCTCAGGAAGGAGGATAAGTTTGGCTCTGTTGAATGGCTTCTTTCCAGAATTTTTGGCATCTCCAAGCGCTCAAGAACGGCCTCACTGATGGTGAATCTCTCGATGTACTGCTGAAGGATCCCCTCTGCCTCCTCCTGGGACCGTGCATTCTTGTATGCCTCATGCAATTCTCTCTCTCTGCGCTCCCTAGAGGATGGGGCATGAGATGAGGAGCATTGATAAGGACATCAGTCACATAACTGCAAAGAAGACCGCGGTGGGAACCAAGGAAGAGTTAAACCCAGAGAGTAAGGTACTGGGATCAGAGTTTCTGTGGTAAGCAACATTTTAAAAGAAAAGCACATCTAGATACTGTACATTAAAAACAACGGAAAGAACCCACTTTTCTTGAACAATTTCTCTGTAGGTTTTGATGCTTTTTCTTCGTTCACTTCTCCCATCTTCTCCAGCCAATAACTTCTCCATTTTTTTCCTTTCTTCTTCTTTCTTGATTAAGTCTTGAGAAGCACTTCTTCTCCGACTCTTCCAACGAGCCAGATCCTGGAGGAGAGGAGATAGAATGTCCTTCTGTTTCTATGGTTTAGGAGCTATGATGCCATCAATCCAGAATAACTCTGCTTGGCATGAGGATGCCTCAACGGCAAGAAATACTCAAATATTACCCACACAAGCCATAGCAGGGCAGCATTAAAAAAAAAAAAACTATGGAAACATGAAACATGCACTCAAATTTCATTGTAATTTGCTAAATTTTAGAGAATTGTTATGCAAGGCAATTGTAGGAAACTTTATTTTCTCCTTTTATGACCTCTGCAATATAAGCAGATTTGCTAATGATAGAATGGCAGAGAGAAATTTACACAGTTTCCTCTTAGAAGTAAAAGCAGAAAAAATCTCAGGTTTTATAGAGTCACTAATTCTATATGGATTACTCATGTGATCTTTAAAACAACCTCACCCCAGATTCTACAGGTAGTTATAGCATAATGGTAGTCGGTGAGGATTCTGAGGTCAGATGGCTGAGATTGCAGCCATGGGAAATATCCATGCACTGTCTTTCCATGTGCTGGGAACTCAAAGGTGTTTCTTAGTCTCTCTGTTCCTCAGAGTCCTCATTTCTAAAATGGAAATGATAATGGCCCTTCTGTTAGTAAGTTTTTAGGTTTAAATGTGATTGTCACGTAGGTGCCAGGTGCAGAGTAAGTGCTCAGTATACTGTAGACACACTTGCTACTACTGCATTGTACTGACTTTGGAGAAGTCAACTATTTTGACTAATGTAGTGTCAGGTTCACAATAGCTGCCTCAGAGTGCTTTGTGAGAATTAGATAAAACGATTTGCCACCTCACACCCCTAACTTCAAACTATATCCCAGGGTTAACGCTTTGCTCTCAGCACACAATAACCTCAAAGCCCCCAGGAGCCTCTTTTACTCTACTTTCCTGGTTCAAATCCTCTCTCCCCCAGTCACTAGCTGTGTGACTTTGGGCAAGTGACTTGGCTGGATTGGGATTCATGGTTGGCATCAGGCATGGTAACAGGTGCTACTGCACTGGGTACTGCACGGTGAATGATCACAAGCAAAGCACTCAGAACAGCGTGCAATACAAGCACACCTTCAGGAATGGCAGCTACTGTGCTGTCACCACCACCATCCACCATCATCTTCTTCCTCAAACACAGAATCACAAAAGACAGCCCATCCTTCCTTCTGTGACCCATTCCAATTGCCTGCCTCCCACTTCTTGTGGCCAAGTCTTTTTTGGGGGGGGGTTAGTAGCTGATTCCCCCCCCCCAAATTTTATGTAAAAAGCTAAAACAAAATTGCATAATAAAATAATAAGAGAATAATAATAGTTATTGTATTGCCTGGGTACAAGACATAGGCATAATAATTTCTCCAGTCCATACAATCCACTTGGGAAGGGCACCGGCCCACTGAACATCCCTGTCACTCCTGGCCACCCTCACGTTGCTGCTATCACCTTCACCAAGGTGCAGCTGGGGACCCTCTAGGGGCTCCCTTCCCCAAGGGCACAACTGCAGGTTCACCCACTGGGCTGGTGTTGGGGCTAGGAGTCTCCTCCCACTCCCGCGCGGCCTTGGCCGAAACTCACATCTTGCCACTTGTCGTCCTCTTCCCTCAGCTGGTTATTTATCAGCTGCAGCTGCTCCTGACGGGCCCTGCTGTGCGGCAGGACCGCGGCCTCCTCCTCGCACCGCATGTCAAACATACTCGTGCTCCTGAGCGCCCAGAGCAAAAACAAAAAGCCAGCGATCAGCGCCCGTCCCTGTTCTGAGCGCGCTCCGCCGCCTGGGGGCGCCATCGCGCGGGAAGCTGCCTCCCTCCCTCCTCCTGCAGCCCGGGCCTGTTGCTGCAGAAGCCAAGGGTGCCTTTGTCTTCAGAAACAGCTCTGCACCGAGACCCTTTACATATCGGTGCCAAAGAAATCGGAACGGCACTCAAAGTCCTGGGCTCCTCTCATATACAAATGCATTTAAAAGTGAGAACTAAAAGGTAGAGAGCTTGGGGGAGAATTCGTGGAGGCGGGCAGTGTTCCATGAAGTGGAACTTTATTGCAGCAAATGTTTCTTTGTAAAAAGAAGTGGCTTCAGTGCTTCCTACATGAAGGAAGGCAATTTCTCTAATTTTCCAGCATATGGCCTCAGGCTTAAGACACCTATTGTTTCGTGTTTTGTTCTTTAGTTTTAGGTGCATCCAATAACTAATGAAGTATATTGAACCATAGGATGGATGGTGTGTATGTTTGATGCAATTATTCCTTTTTATTTCCTGTAAAACTGTCAGCAGTTGATAATATCTTTGAAGGTATCTTGGAATCAAGAATATAAGGCATTTTATATTTAAAATAAAGAACAAAATACGAAAAGCAGTATATAATCTATGACTTAACATGTATCATTTTAATTTATTTTTGTCAAGATATCTCTGAATTGATTCTTTTAAAAGAAAAAAGATAAGGAAAGCAAATTTAAAAGAAAGCTCTTAGGTTGTGCATACAATTAATATTCCAGAGGCGCTTATTAAGTGGTGAGACCAGAGATGCCTCCATGGACCTCTGTTAATAGCAAAAGCGGATACAGCAACATGCACATAAGGACAGAAACCAAAGGAAAGTCTTCTCCTTCTTTTCTTCGTTCTCCCTTTTCTCTGTCCCTTTCTCCCACCCTCCCTCCCGTCCCTAACCCTCTCCGCTTTTCTTTTTTCCTACTATCTCTGGGCCAAGTGGGTTACACAGTCTGAAACTCAAGAAATGGAGATCTTTGAAAAGTTTACTGTTAGCCACCTGGTACAGAAAGCAGATACAATCTATTTCTGAAGCCAGCTGAACACAGAGAAAAAGGAAAGCCATGCGCTTGGACAGCAACTAATTTCAGACATCCCCAGTGATGTCTGCATGTGGTGCTCCGCGGCCAGACAATGAGCAGCAGCAGCAGCAGCCGTGAGGCTGGATGCAGTGGGTTCTCTGGAGGACAGTGCTCTGCACCGAGACCGCGATGCCCCGAGCAATGTCTGCCACCCTCACTGCAACCCACTCAGGGCAAATCAGCATGGATGGTCGTACATCTCCCCTCCCTCCAGATGTTGGATAGTTTAAGGCTGACTTAAGAGAACTAAAATTCAAAGGTTGTCTGTGTAGCCTCTCTTTCCCAAGAGCATTCTAACAATCCAATTGTGCAGATGGATTTTTATCTGAGCCTTCTACTGGCACCAAAAGAAACTGCCACCACCTACTCAGTGGGTAGTGTTGACTTCAGCAGCTGTGCCTTCCAACAAAAATAAACTGTGGACCTCCAAAGGGAAGAAGGGCTGTGATTTCTCACCTATTTAATATTATTTATTAATGTTGTTTAAGAAAGACTTAGGAATTTATAGGGGTGGATAGAAAAATAAAACTCATGCCCACTTAAGCAGACCTTCCTGAAAGAGATCAAAATTCATTCCACCCCTCCTCTCATAATTAAAAGAGAAAAACAAAATCTTACCTTTCAAATATCCAATCCAGTCAGTTAAGTTTTTAGGCAATTTACAATCTCTGCTAAGACCTTAGAAGATGGGAACCTTTTTGAGCCACCAAGTAGCTCTGAGCTACTGGGATTATAAAATCCTTATATAATCCAGGAAGTAGCAGGCAGATTGCAGGAGCAGAAGCAATCTTTTCCTGCAACCTTGCCTCTACAGTTCCTAAAGACCAACATTCTGGTTGAGGCCACAGTAATGAGCCACAGAGCCAGGTCTTCTTCTGGAATCCAGAGGTGCGAATGGCAGTCTTCTCCAAGATCCAGGATTTGGCTCTCTCTTAAAAAGGCTGAGAGAGCCAGGGGCAAGCCCTCAGAATTGCCTTTCTGTGGCCTGTGTTCCAGCCTGGCTCCCCTGTGAAGCTCTGACTACCTCAGCCCAAATAAGGCCAAATGCTGGTTAAAAAGAAAAACTTGTTTGCCCTCTCCTCTACCAGGAAGTACCATTTTCCCCCAATTTTTTAAAAAATAGAAATATCAGCAAATTGGCTGAAAAAGAAACAACAAAACTATGTGATGTCTGTCCTCTCAAAAATAAGGAACTGAGAAAGTTCAGAATTGACAATCCTTGATAGAAAATGAGCTGAATCACTGTTTAAAAATGCCCCCTAGTTCAGAGGTTGGACTCAGCCTCTCAAATGAAGAAGCATGGGTCCAAGGATGGGGTGAGGAGAGGGGAGACCCTACAAAGTCAGTTTCTAGAATAGTCTACAGTTATAGAGACTAAACCCCATGCTTCTCAGCACCATGCCTATGACTCTGAGCTGCTGGGACCAGAGCTTAGGATTCGCTTGGGACTAGGCTGCCATTTTTGAGGGATGGAGATCAAATTTCCTCAAAGGACATTGTTTCTGGGCCGACTGTAAGGAAAGAGAATTCATAACAAAATGGCCTCTCACTGTCCCAAGGTGCAGACTCTTTAGTAGTGAAAATGTTGACTGAAGAATGCGCAAGTCAGGAAAGGGCAAGAAGGTGAAACGAAATCTACAGGGACATTTTTGGTTGGCTGGGAACGGAAATTTCTGCCTGTGTGGTAGGTCTGCTCCCTGACCTATATTCTCCTTCAAGGGCACATCTTTTTTTGATTGGACTATATTTGAAGAATGTGTCAATTATTAATAAATATAGCCAGTGACAAAAATTGCCTTTAAAGATTTTGAAAAAGGAAGAGAATGGGGAAATAAACTAAAAATAGCACACATATTTCTATTTAATAAATTACCCCCAGATATCAGCTTTTCATTCTGCTCCCCTTGTGGCTTTATATAAGTTGTATCTACTCCAAGAAGGAAACTGGGTACTTTGGATATTCCCAGATAAGGTCTCTGGGAAAGAAGTTCCTTTAATTCTTCTTGGTCCATGGGGCTGGATTTTGTAAACTTGGGAGAGAAGGGAGTCTCCCAATTTTAAAAATATGTATTTTCTGTGGTAAAGTTTCGTTTCCATGTGCATGCAAAATCTGAAAGTTCTTTACTGTAGCTTCCTTTTTTCCACCCTCTAGGGTTTCTCAAAGATCTATTTTAGTCAAATTGCATGGCAGCTTTGCACTGATGAAGAATAAATCCATTCTATCAAAATGTTTTTGCTCCCCAAATCAAAGTAGTGTTTTGCCTACCAATCTCCTACAATTCTCCTCTCAGTGAATGTTAAATATTGCCACTGCAGATTTTAAAAGTAATAACGAGGGCTCAGCTTAACAGACTACTTAGCTCAGAGCAGTCAGTCAAACTCAGGCTGGATTTGGTTTTGAGATGTGCGCACTCCATGTGTGGATAACTAACAGTCAGAGATCGCCCACTGGAACTTGGCAAAGGAGCCAGACTGCATAGGGCCAAGAGACCCAAGGAAACTGCCATCTTGAACATAGCATGGAAAAAGCACAATATGAAAATGCTTAATTTTGGAGGGTCTAATTTCAAGTCATCAGTGAAAATAATATTTGTAGGTTCTACACCCTTTTTAAGTAAGTACCTCATTCTATGACCTCAAAACTATGGCTGAAACATAGAAAACAGGAAAAAATAAATCTAATGTTTATTCTCCCAATGGCTTAGCTCCCCTCTCCTGCACTAGGACGCAAAACCCTTTTGCAGAGAGGAGAGATATCAAGCTCAGCTACTGAATTGGGGGTTAATTACTAATCTAGTTTCTTAAAACATACATTACTCAAATCTGAGAAGGCTAGCATTCTGCAAAGAAAACTTTTTTGTTTGTATGTCAGTTGCAGAATGATGTGCACTTGGGAAATCTGTTTTTGAGGCACATTTAATGTAGTCACAAATGAGAGGTGTGGATTCTTCTCAAATTTGAATATGAGTGCAAAGCAGAGAGTAAATCTCCAAGAGAAGTGAATAGCAAGCAGCCAGGAGAGGAAGCTCAAGTCATGTTTTACATCCTTGACCCCTTGCTATGCCAAGAAACTTGAACAAAACCCCAGTGTTTTGGTCTGAAGCATCCCACAGTTTACATGATTCAAACCTAGGAGGAACTTGGGCTTCTGAATCCATAATTAGTGGCTTAAGATTTATTTTTTTAGTTTGAAAAGAAATGTGACTACAGCAATGACTACTTCATTGTTAACTCTAAGCCTCAAGATATCAAGAATTAAATGCACAGCTCTAAATACCCTTTTAATAATTCTGTCATTCAGAAGGGGTACCGATGTCCAAACCATAACGAGAACAGCTTTAACATGCCTGGTCTATGAGAAGCAAATGTTAAATTTGAAGCAGCAGCTGCATATTAGACTCACGCTTAAGTTACTTTTTCATTCATTTTCCCTGCACAGAACATATGTTCTGCATTCCAAGTTCAAGTGCTTTGCTGCACAAGTCAGCTAGCTAGTCAGCTCGCAGAGGTATCAGCTGCATTTCAATTAGTGGTGAGTACGGGAAGCATGCAGTTTAGGCTAGTAATTAATGTAACCCTAGGAATACAAGACCACTTACTCTGCGTCATCTGACACAGGAGTTCTCGGACCGTATCTACAAGACCAAATACAAAATTAGAGGACTGGAAAGACAGAAAATTGATGCTGTAATCATGCTGGAAATGAAAAACGCTGGGCAAAATACACGTGTGTCAAACCTTCTCATCGACCATACTGGAAGAGAAGTGTCATATAATTAGCAACATTCATTAGCCGCTGAAAATCAAAGAAAACTCTTGATAGTTCTAATGGATATGAAATTTGTATTAAAGCCCAGAAGAGAAATGAAAATAATCTCATGTAACCCACAGAGAATCTGTTCAGAAAGGCTTAGGTGTAACCTGCAACGTTTAGAGACTCAATATAAAACACCAAGTGTGTATTATGTTCATTCACAGAGAGTTAAACTGCGCATGCCTTCATGTTTGGTAGTAACAGGCTGTAATGGACACCCCACATAAAAGCACACCCCCCCTGACCCTAGCCCTGATGTGCTAATGCATTTGCACAAGTGACATCAAAGAGTATTTCTGAAGTTTTCTGAAAGCAAACCAGAGCTCTAGCCAGAGCCTCATTCAGTGCCTTCTGCATGCATTTGACAAAAACCACAATTCCTAGAAAACTGGTAGCCTTAATCAAAACCAGACCTGAGTGATATTCCACAACTTGAACAACTGAAGGTTTTTTCAATCTTTTATATTCTTCTGATAATTTAGATTTGTAAGGTTGTTATCATCTGTGGTGCATTAAGTCTAAATGTTTCTGATTAAAACATTACAGTGCAAGGGTATATTTTAAGCACATTTTTAAAAAAGCAACACTGAGGGTGGGGATGTAGCTCAGTGGCACAGTCTTGCCTGGCAAGCATGGCCCTGAGTTTGAGTCCCAGTATCAAAAACAACAACAAACCCAAACAAAAACAAACAAACGAAAAATAAATAAAACGAAACCAGCAACTCTGGCAAATAAGTACTTCTTTAGCAAAGGTGAATTTTAAGGAACAATCTTTACCTATACCCTAATAGGTTTCTCACTTCTGTATTCTGGTAGTGGACAAAGATTTATTGCGGTAAATAAAATATGTCCTGCTTCCAGTTTTCAGTAAATTACATCATGGAGTTGTCAGCAAAACATTACCTGGTCCCCATGCTCAGCATCATAGTAGTTTATAGGAAAAACAATAATTTATGAAGTTCTTTTCTCATAATCATAGAGAAAACACCCCAGAATGTGCATAGATGCATACAAACTCTCTCTCTCTCAAGCATTCTACAATCATCTACAGTTATTGATAATGATTTCACTCACAGTAAAGATAGGCATGTCCAAGAAAAATCCAAAAATTTCTGTTGAAATGGCCAAAAACAAGACAAGGGAAAAGTCTGTAAATGTTTTACTTATGCTCTGGCAGTATAAGACTCATTATGTTTCTCCAGGGATAGTTTCAGACATTTTCAATGTTCTAAAAACACCAACACAGTGGAGTGGGTGAAAAGTATATTCTTCCATACCAAGAGAGAGTGCATGAGAAATATCAGTTCTGAAGATGGGACACATAGTCCCAAGTCAACAAATACATATATTAGCATGTATTTATTCAAGTACAGTGTTTCCTAAACTATCTTTGGAACATAGCAGAGAAAATATTCCTAAGGGTGGTTAATGGAGAAGTAATTTGTTAACAGCTACGGGTTTGTGTGTCTTTATTTAGTTTATTAGCATTTCATTAAAGTATAACATACATACAGAAAATGTACATACTATGTAGCCATCTTGATGAATTATCACCAACTAAGCAAATACATAGATTAATATGGAGTATTTTATCCTATATAAAATGATTCATGGCTTTGGCTTCTTTAGCACAATTTGTTTGTGAAGTTCAGTTATGTTGTTGCTTGTAGGATATATTTGAATTTAAATTGTTTTTACACAAATTCATGCATTTGTGTTTGGCAGCAGTTGGCTAAAATGGACACCTAATATATACAGGTATTCAATTGTTTCTAACAGCATTTTAACAAATCTCTTAGCAAACAAAGGTTTAAATTTAAATGTAAATCTTGTGGGGCAGAAATTTTTCTGTTTGGGTTCCTTGGATGGTGACCAGAAGAGGAGGACCCCAATAAGCATTTGGTGAATACTTACAGGACGCTCTGGAAATTGGAAAGAAAGCACAGCCACTAAGGATAAGCCATCTTCACTGGGATGCAACTACAGACTTAAAAGAGTTTCCTCTTAGACTAATCTCTTAGCTCTAATACGGCATACATTTAAGAAGAATTGCCTTTTTGCTGGTAAGGGGAAGATAATTAGAGGTTGAACTTCAAGTGGCTTTCTCAATTGTCCTACAGAAAACCAAAAAGTAAAGGCAAGTTACACCAAAAAAAAAATCACTAATAAGATTTGTAAAATACAAAGTCAGTTTGTAAATAATCTATGGGATACGAAACTGTCATGGTTGGCACAAGCATCCTATCAGAGAGTGAAGAGGAGGAAGACAGAAGGAGGAGCAGGAGGAGAGGGAAAGGTGGAAGGAGGAGGAGGAGGAGGAGGAAAACAGGAAGAGGAGGAGGGGGAAGAAGAATGGAGGAAGGAGCGGGAGAAGAGCAGGAAGAGAAGGAAGATGGAGGACAAGAAGATAGAGAAGGAAAAGAAAAAGGAGGAGAAGGATAAGAGGAAGCAGAGGAGGAAGAACAAGGAGGACAAGAGAAAGGGGAGGAGAAGGCAGTAGAGAAAAGGAATTTTGGTTTTTTTTTTTTTTTTTTTTTTTTTTTTGTACCAGGGATTGAATCCACGACTGTGTGCTTGCAAGGCAGGTGCTTAAATCCCCAGCCCCACAGTTTAATTTTGAAGGTGGTAGTATTTAGAATGACAAAGGGCAAAATCTGTGCATAATATTGGTTACATTTATGTAACTTTCAGCACAAAGAACTTCAGAATCAATAATTAGTTGACAATACAATTGACAATACAATTCTATAATGTGAACCAGCATTACGTTATTAGAAGTGAGTGGGGAGAAGAATTTTACTGCTCATCATCTCCCAGCAGCCAGCCATGATTGGTACACAATGATTACTCAGTAAATACTGTTGAGAGGGAAACACGAGTGCCCAACATATATGCTGGCTCAATCACAAAGCAGGTTAGAGCTAATCTGACTGCATCTCCTTGAGCTCACACTAACTACTCATTCCCATTTGAATATTGAGAGGACTCTCAGAATCATAAACACAGGGATAGATGGAGCTGTCAGAGATTTCATTGGGTTTCATGCTTCCTCTAACTTGTGGGGACAATGAGCTGGATGGGGAGAGTGGTTTTCCACTCAAGTGGTTTGAATGTTGGTCTTGGTCTTGGTTTTCTGATTGCAAAATGCACACAGAAATTCTTATCCTCAAAGATTATGTGAGGAAAGTGAAGAAGAAGGAAAAGTGGAAGAGGAGAGGAGAGGAGGAGAAGGAAGAGGAGGAGGGGGAGGGGAGGGGGGGAGGGGAGGGGGGAGGGGGAGGAGGAGGAGGTGGGGGAGGAGAGGGAGGGAGAGGGGGAGGGGGAGGGGGAGGAGGAGGAAGAATGTACCCAGGATGTATTCAGTTTCCTTTTTGTAGTGCTGGGGACTGAACTGCGGTGCTGGGGATTGCACATGTTAGGCAAGTTCTCTACCACTGAGCTGCACCCCCAGCCCTTTCTTTACACCCTGATCTGTCTCATAACAGCCCAGTGACTCAGGACATTTGGAAGGTGAGTGACTGAGAATGACCAGGTTGTCCTGCAGTCCCTCTGGCACTGTCCAGCCCTGACCATTCAGCCATTGAATGTTTCTCATACCAGGCTGCCTATTTGTAAAATGGAGCAAACATTACTCAGCCTAGCTGTGCATCCAGGGAAAAGCTGAGCTGGGCGAGTGGGTGTGATCTGCAAAGGCTCTAAGTCACTCAGCTGAATAAAGCATGAGTACTAGCCCTGCTCCCTAAAAAACGGCTGTAATGAAATTCTACTCTACTATTGTCATGATTCAGAAGAGAATAAAACACTGATAAGATCAGGTGATAGAGACGGCCAGGATGGTGGTTTAATTTTAGAGATCACTTAATGGTTTCTTTGCCCTCTCACTCCATGGTCATCTCGGTTCTTTGAGAAGCAGAGCTCACTGCTTCCTGTTTTACAGTAAACTGTAATTATGTGAAACTCCCGCACTCCTTTGCCCTATGCAGTTTAAACAAAAATATATCACTCATTAAATGACAATAGAGGCTTTAATACATAGGACCTCAAACTCTAGGATTATTTCCTTACTCTTCATCTTCCGTCGAGTCTTATCTCTAGAAGGTAATGAGTGTTTGCTATTGTTGAAAAATAGAATTAAGAATTTTATAAGTGATAATCATCATTTGGCTGGAATCAGAGTAAAATTAAGTAGGCCAGAAGACAGTTTGACCCTTTTACCCCATACTCCGCTGTGAGCCAGGAAGAAATAAATGTTTCACATTTATTCTACTCACAAGATGAAAATCAGAAAGAATGTTTAACAGATAAATTCACTACTCAGATATGCTTTCCTCACCTGCTTATATGCAAAAAAGAAACACCAAACCACTTGACAGACCAAACCATTTGAACTCAATTCTGTTAGCAATAGCAGGTAAGTAGCTTTGATGCGCCATAATGTATTAACAACACACTTAAAGAATGTACCAGGATTCTGACCAGAGAACCAAAGCCACAAGGGCACACACAGGATAACCTTCCAACCTCTGACCATTCATGGGTGGATGCTTGGTGGATTCTTCTAGTTGCTTTGCAAGTGGAACTGGAAGGCCCTGGTTTGGGTTGGATCCCATGAGAGCAGGGGACATCTCCTGGTCATCATGTCATCTTTTCATAAATCAATTAACTTTCTTTGGTCATTCAGTCCATTGCAACTTCAGATAGGAGCTGTCATCATCTCTGGCTTTTCTTCTTTTCCTGAAGACTCCCATGCAGAAGTCAGAGGACATGCTCTAGGGCAACATTTAGTCCAGCCAGTCAAAGGTCATTCACTTATTGCTAAAGGTATTCAGTAGTGTCACTCACTGATGTCAATCAAGACAGAGAAGCCAATATCCATGAAGGCAGAAGCACACACAGCAGCTGGGTAGGAAATCTCCTTTTAAATTCTGTAAAGCTCTCTCATGCAGCTGGTGCTCAAACGGTAAAGGCTCCCATTCTGTTTTTTTTATGATTGCTGAGAATGAAATCTGGCCAGTCCCCAGCCACATGCAAAGGCCCTCTACCTACAGTGAGCAACATAAGCAGACCTCTAACCTTGGGCATTCCTGGAAAGGACTTTACTCTTGGCTGTGCCAGTCCCTGAGTGCATACTGGGATGCTAAGCTGCTTTTTGTGAACCCACTGGCCACACACAGCACACCACAGAATGCAGGCAGGATGCTCACAGGGTCTGGCTGAGTCCCTCTGATCTCTCTGCCTTTGGTGGCATCACAGAATTCCTTTGAGAAACTCCTTCAGTTTCTTCTTTGCCATCCTGTGTCAGCTGTTTGGATGTAACTAAAGCCAAAGAGGACAGATTTATTGCTAGGAAGAATTCATCACAGGCCTGCCCCACCTGTTACTCTTCCCTCCTGAGGAGGCAGGAGACTCCGCTCCTCACCTTGCTCTGGCCTCCTTGGGCCCTTGTCCGAGCTGTAGATCTGCTCCTCCAGGGACTCTGGCACAGGAGCCAGACACAAGACCCTTTTGCGAGCATCTAAGCCAGAATTCACGAGGGTGTTGCTAACCAAGTAGCATGAGTGACAAAAGACAAGAAGAAAAAGGATTATGAAAGGAGACAGCAAAGGGTGTTGGCACTGAAAGATTCAGAGAGAGAGTTCTGCTGCTCTCTTTCTTTGGGCTTGGAAATAAATGTGACATGATCAGATTAAAATAATAGAATATGCACTCTGGTGGGACCTGAGCCAAGTCCAGAAAACTTAGAATGACTCTGGCATCATGGGACTCAGTGATGGCCCCCAAAACAATCAAGGGCTCCTGAGAGTATTTCTCATGAATTTCCTTACATCAGAACCCTGCTGGGCTCTGAAGCTCTGTGTGTTTCTGGAGCACTTGTGTTTAAGTCTCAATGGTGTCACTCACAATCTGGAACCAAAGAAACCTTTGTACATGTCATGGTCCACCCATTATTTGCTTTGGATTTCATAGTCAAAGGACTGAGCATTTTCTCCCACATGAAGAATCTCTTTGCTCCTACCATGGAGGTGAGAAATCTCAAAAATGTCCTGTACCCACTTAAGGGAAGAGACACCAGCACACAGAACTGATCCCCACCTCCACCTCGCCCCAAGGGCTTAGCATTTCACAGCTGAATTAGTATCAGGCCTACAAGCTGTTACTTCTCAAATAGTGGCAGTGATTCATCCATTTGACTTAAAGAAATCTCTAAAAGAAAAATCTTTCTCCACTCAAGATTTATTATGCAATTGAACAACTTAAGGGAGGGGAAAGATTTTTTTAAATGTTTCTACTTGGATGTTTAAAATTTGAGCCATGATGCTGACAGGTATTTTAGAACCATAGGATAGGAAAGAGGGAAGTTCTAGAAAAACCAGATTTTAAAATCAGTATATCCTTAGAAGAAACACTAGTAATATCATTAAAACATTCCATCTAGATCATTAATATCTTTAATCAAGCAGTACTCACTGCAGTGGAGGGAGAAAGGGTGATTTGTGGAGATTATTGGCATCCCCAGGCAGTGATTTTTAGGACCAAAGAATAGAAATGGATGCTTGCCATTTAACCTCATAGGTATGCTTGCTTACCCTAGGCTTATCCCCTAGCATGACTTCCCTATTGTCTGGCAGAGGAGTCTGCTAAAACTATATCAACTTTAGGGGCTTAGGCAACACAACTCATTGAACTCTTAGGTTTTGGTTTGTTTGAGATGCTGAGATTGAACCCAGGGCCTTGCTAAGCACAAACTCCACCACGGAGCTACACTCCCAGTCACAGCAAGGCCAAAGCCTTTAGAAGCAGCAGCTCCCATGCAGACATCCTGGTACAGGGTTGGTTAAAAAAATAAAATACCTGGAGTCATTTTGTGAATTAAGGATTTGATCTTCCTTTAAGCCAGAAGTAGTCTCCGAGGTAGGGGACACAGAGTAAGTTTGAATCTTGCTGTCATGACTGGCAACTTCTTCTGCATCCTCCCTAGGCCCAGCCATGCCAATGCTGAGCCGCCTCCACTTCTGCTGATCTATCTCTGTCACAGACCCAAAGTGCACAAACTTTTGCCTTGGGCAGGAAGCTTTCATATAGGCCCTGGCTTTGCGGGTGGCAAAGTCATCGCGGAGGGCAGTTTCTGCATTGATTTCTGGTGAAGGCTCAGGGGCACAGACGTGCTGAGCATCTCCATCCCTAGTCAGAAGCAGAAATAAGTTCTAAAGATTTCTAGTACAAAGCAATGAGAGTTTTAAAATATAAAAGTATATACATAAGAAATACTCCTACAGCTAGAACAGAGTTGTTTTCCATTAACCAATCCCAATAAAGATCATTCTCTTGCATAGATAGTTTTCATTCTTGCCTTTTTCTCTCTCTTTCTCTCATTTTATTCCTAGAGATTGAGCCCAGGGCTTTCTGTATTCTAAGCATGGTCTACCACTGAGCCATACCCACGATTACTCTATCGCTTTCCAGAAACCAGTGCCAACATCTTAAGAAAATCTTATGTAGAATGGAATAATTAAAATTAATTACAAACCAAATTTAAATTCCTTATAGCAAATAAGTTCAACAAGCAAAGTAACATTCATAGTAAGCCAGCTGGTTAAAGATGATGTTTTCTTTTAACGCAGCTTTTGATTTTCAGTATTAATAAGTTTCTTTTCATGCAGAATATGCTGGTTTCCAGAAGCCCTGTGTTTTGGGAGGTACTTTTTCAAACCCATCAAAATTTAAAATGAAACGAGGACCAGCATTTGATTCCATCAAATGTTAAATAATACCACTGCTGGGAGGAAAACCAAAAAAAACACGACACACCTCGCCTTTTCTGACACTTTTAATCTCTCCCATGTCTCCAAGTCGGCTTCAGTAATAGCAGAGAGAGTGATGAAGCTCGGAGCCTCGCGATGAGGGGCAGCACTGCCCTGAATTCTCCGCTGGGCCAGGTCATCCTTGTACAGGTCTGGCACCTTCTTGAGTCCCTCCTCCACCGGTTCACTCTCCTGAGCTCGGATAACACAGGTCACTATTGACTTCTCTTCTGTTTGGCCCTGGTTTCTGTCAATTTGATCCCGGTCCCCACATCATCGAGGAAATCAGGTTCAAGGAAGGGGACCAAACAAACAGAAAGTCAGGCATGGAAATTCAAAGGCTGAGGACAGAGCAAATGCACTGAAGCATCTTTCCCTTTCTCGAAAATACGGTCTCAATCAGAGTTGTGATTACTTTTATCTACACTGTCCCTTAAACACTGCAGTGAGTGATACTGTTTCTTCCAGCAGATGACAGTCTCTAGTTTAGTCTGGGAAAAGAAGCCAGGGCTCACTCAAAGACTACTAAGAATGGTAATGAGATTTCAGCTTGACAGTAATGATGCCCAATTCCCACACTATTCAAGTTACTGTGATGAATTCAAGTTTTCTGATTGAATCCCTTAGCCCCCTTGAAATGTTTTTTACTGCATTGATAAAATGCTAGTAATGAGCTCTGCATGATCCAAATTCTAGGATTATTCTGGAGAGAGCTGGAATGTTTTCTGCATAAGAAACATCTCAACCATAAAGCCACTAAAAGTATATTGAAGTCAATGCTAAACAGAGAATATCAACATTCAGCCTCAGTATCTGCTGCATAGCATATATCAGGGTTGGCTACTGTAAATTCATAGAAGGGTATATATATGCTTTCCTTGGATTTACAGTCAATATCCATTTGTTTCTTGTGTTAGTAATTACTCACTTTTATTGATGCCAAACTGATAGTTTCAATTATTTTCTTAAGAAATGAATATTAGCTAGTAAATATAATTTATGTCAAAACTGGGCATTGATATGCATAAACATTTTACCATATTATATTTCTAATATGCTGATTCTTGAGAGAAAAGAATCTTAAGACCATATATAAATAGGGTTGATTTTTCCCCCAAAATATATCACCTAATCCACAAAAACAAGAGTTATTCTTTTGTTAGTGCCATGAATTGGTGCATTTGGTACACCCATTCCAAAAGGAAGGGCACAGAATTTTGTATTCCTTTAAGTTTGGGGGGAAGGATGTTTATTTGTTTCATAAGTTCTTTGATGCTGCCTAAAGTCAGTGTGCTCCAGACCCACAACTATATCCCTAGACATAAAGTGACGAGACAACAGATAGCTGCAGCTGGGAATACCAGAAATTAAAATTTCATGAGCAAAAAAGGAAAAAAAATGTAGATATAAAATCTAGTCCTTTTCCTAATTCAAATTGCAGATCTGCATCAGTATGCCTAAATGCTTGGCAATTTCCAAGTCTTTGTCTCTCTGCAACAACTGATTCCTCCTGCAAGGCCCTCAGGATGGTATGTTGGGAGGTAAGCCAGCAAGGGTAGCACAGGCCAAAAGCTTACAATGTGTCCTGTGAAAAACTCTCTCTATTCTAATCCCTGTTCTGCATCCAAGTATCTTTCATGAGTTTGTATTTGGTGCTTCCTTAAAAAAAGTATGAGCTATTCTACTGTGCTCAATAACTCTGCCCAAAGAACCTTGTTTAGATGTACAAAGTATAGGTAAGATAGTAGTATGCTCAATTCAATGAATTGAAGAACCTCTAATGATGGGCACATACATAATCAAAAATGCTAGCTCTAACTGATTTTGCTTGAGAAAAACTTCAAGTATGATAAACTCTGCAGGATGAAGCTCAGTAAGCAAACTTCTCAAATGACAGCCTATTTAGGACAAAAATCACTGATAAAATTCATCTCACTACAATTTTCTTTTTTCCACTCTGACGTACGTAGGTCAAGAATCTCTTATCTAAATGCTTCAGAACAGAGGCGATTTGGACTTCAGATTTTTTTGGTTTTTGAAATATATTGCATTTATTTATATAATGAGACATCTTGGGAATCAGATCTCAGTCCAAATATAAAATTCATTTATTTTTCATATATCAGGTGTGATCAAAATAGATGATAAGTGTGCAAGTTTTAAAAATTTACTACAATAAAAGGCAAACAATCCTCCTCAAAATATTCTCCCTTGCTTTGACTTGCCCCATCATTCACCCACTTTTAGAAGCAGTTCTGTCGTCCTTTCTCATGAGTGTCTTTAGTTGACCTATCGTGGGTCCATGTCCTGACCCAATTCAAAACATTTACCTTTCCTAGTTATTTTGACTTTAAGGAAAACCCAGAAGTCACATAGTGCCAGACTCAATGAACAAAGCAGATTAGGGCACACAATAATGTTTTGATGGCTGTAAAACTTTGAATCAATTCAGTACATCAAGGCAGCCATGAAAAATACTAATGAAAGAGACTTTCCAAAGCTGCTTCAGAAAGTGGGAAGAATAATAGAGACATTATGTTCAAAGTGAGGGTGAGTATTTTGAGGGAAAAGTAATGGAAATGTATTTTTAATATAATAAATTTAAAAAGTAAATATTCTCCATATTTTTGGATCACATCCATACATCTACAGACACAGCATGAAGGTACTTACTATACATTTATTTTTTTACTGTGACCCACTATATGAACTCAGGTGTAGCAGTTTTTGAGTTTTGTTGTCATATCAGTACTCAAAATGTTTTAGATTTTGGACATTTTGAACTTTGGATTTTCATATTGGGAATGCTCAGTCTGATGTGAAAAAAATTGGAAGAAGGAAACTGGTTTGAAACAAGTTCCATGGGAGGAGATACAGACATCTATTTCACATTTGAGGAGATTTTACTTGTTGTTTTGTTTTGATAGGAAACATCCATTGTCATATGTCCAGGTGATATTGCTGATCATTCTCCTGAGCTCTCATAACACAGGCCACAATTTATGTGTGAGACAAAAAAAAAGCAAGTTTCGTTTTTTGCTCACTTCTAACATGTAAAACTTCCAAAAGAAAAGAGCTTCTAGCAGAAAGATAGCTATGCCTTCTCCATCCTTTGAATGGACTGAAGCACCCTAGAGAGACACATATCTGGCTGACCAAGAGTGCCAGTCTACGAAACTAGCACCCAATATGGTGATGTGCCCTGATGAGCACATCCACGCACTGAAATTCAATGTTTATTTGATAAATTCAACCCTATTTTGGACATGAGCACTCTATTCTCTGCTACCTGCATTTAAGTGTCTAAGAGAGATTGGTTATCTGGGGTTCACTTTGAAATGTACCACTATACAGTGCACATAATTAGGGCAAAAAAGAGAGGAATGGGGACTACAATACCAATGACCCATGACTAATTATGCTTTTTCTTTCATAGACACACACAGCGCACACCTTTTATGTTCTAGACTTTTCTTTCCTGAAACTCCTTTTGAGAGCCGTTTGTGGCCATCTGACTTCGCTGCATCTTTTCTTTGATAAGGCCCATACAGGAGTTGACTCAAGGGCACTATAGGCTTAGCTTGGTTCATTCTTGCTCTCCTTGCAGCAAAGTCATCTTTCTCAAGGTCAGGCAGGCGACAGGGAACTTCTTCTTCTGATTCCGAATCTTTGCCATGTTGGTTGGTCAGGAAAGAATTTTCCTTGCGAAGGATAATATCACGAATAGCTTCTTTCTCTTCACTAACTTGCTTTCGACTGATAAAGCAAAATAAATGGAACTCTACATGTGATAAGCCCCCCCCATTAAATCCCCATCTCCAGGAAGATAACTTTGTTATTATTAAAAAGCCCTCCCAATATTGTTAGTTCAAACAATATGGCTTTATTATTTTAGTTTGGAGCTGTAGCACAGTTAAAGTGGGGTTTAAAACCTTGAGTTTAGCCAGACATTAGCAATACTAAAACTTTATCAAATTTGCAGGGCTCCATCGACATCAAGAAAGCAGGATCCTAAATGGCTCTGAAAGTTACAATTCCAATGCATTTCATGAAATTGGGGAAAAGTAGCAAGTTTTGCTGCTGTTTCTTTGTCTTCATCATATTTAGCAATGCACCCAGTAGGTACCTAGTTTGTTTGTGACTAACAAGGCAAAATACTGAACCACCACGCAACCGATCTGAGGGAAAGCCAATGGATGCAGCTGTGTGACAGCACACCTAGAATGTGCTCCAGACTGTCAAGTGTAAGGAAGGGTTTTATGCAGAACTGAGCTAATGTGAAGCCCTATAGATAATTTAAGATAATTCATAGAGTGAACCTCAAAAAGCTTACCATGCCCTGCTCCGTCTCATCAGCAGCCCTTTCTTTCCTCTTCTATCTCCACAACTCTCTCCCTCCACGATGGCTTCTTGATTAGATACTAAATGTCTAGTATGTTGTAGTAAGAATTTTTGCCAAAATGATTTTAAAATTATTAGTATGGGTTATTTCCATTTTCAAAGGAGTCTTGAGGGCTTCTTTGACATATGAACTTTAAGTTGGTAAAGGTACACAATTTAATTGTTGAATATTAGGCAGTAAACCTCGGGACTTTTTCAACTTGGTTTTTATACTGTAGAGGGTGGGGAAGATACAGCAATGAACCCTATGAGACATTCAAATCAACACCCACCCGTCCACCTACTCGTAAAACCAGCCTTGTTTCTAAATAAAAACAAAACGCTGAAACATTTTTTCATAATTTAGCTGGGTGTGGTGGCGCACTCCTGTAATCCCAGCACTCGGGAGGCTGAGGTAGGAAGATCCTTGAAAGTTTGAGACCAGCCTGGGCTACAAGTGAGCCCAAGGCTGGCCTGAGCGCCTAGTGAGACCTGTCTCAAAAAAAAAAAATTATTTTTTTACCATCGTCTCAGTTCTTTTGGGAGGGGTGGTGCAACTGAAGGATGAAGAGAAAGATAAGAAGGCCTTTTTTTTTTTTTCCTGTTGGTACTGGGAATTGAACTCATGACTTTGCATTTGCCACGCAGGCACTTACACTGCTGAGCTAAACCCCTGGTCCCATCTTCTCAGTTCTTAAAGATGAGAAATTAATAAAATACCTTCATTTCTAAAGAAAGTTCACCTATTTTGTATGAATTTTCTGAGGGAGGATACAGAGTCATTATTTATCCTCAAAGGACAAACTGGTTTTAGGAATGCAGACAGAAGGAATTGGCCTGGTTCACAATAGAAGGGAGATTGAGACTGTGTACACCAGTTGACCAGCTGGCATCACACAGGTCTAAAGGAGGTGACCCTCTAAGGTGACAGTAGACCCCGGTTCCATCTGATATGGCAAATCAAAGCCATCTGATATGGCAAATCACTGGTCATGCCCAGAAAAATTTCTCAGTATTAACCACTGTTCTCAATAAAACTTCAAAACGCTGGAGGTGGGAGTGGTGTTTTTTTCCCTGAATAGATTTATTTCTTAAAATATAAAATCCTGTGCTTTGTTTTGCAGACTCTACTTGCAGCGTCCTTCCTGGGATCACTGCCTGCATGGTATTCACTGTCGTTATCAGCCTCCTTAGCTAAGTAATCTGTCAAGGGCCAACTGGTATGAGTTGACTACCGCTATAAAGAGGGCCCAGTGCAAAATGATAGGGCACTGACTTAATGTCCTTTATGAATTATGTAAAAATGATACTGAAGGTGGCTAATGAGTGCATATTTTGTGCTAGAATTCCCTCCCAGTATTAATTCCTTTAAGCTTAACACTGACTCTGCAAAATCTGTGACATTATCATCTTTATTTTATTAAGTAGAAACAGGTTAGGTTAAGAAACATGCAATTTCAAAGAGCTAGTGTTTAAAGTAAAATGCAAACGTAGCCTGTCTGTTCCCACAGGTCCTCTTTTATGATAGTGAAGAGACCACTATACTATTCATTGAAGAGAGGATCATGTCAGAAGCAGTTTTTAGAGTAGAGCATCATTCAAAAAATAAGGCATTATCATCACCACAAAAGCAGGAGAAAGGGAAGTAATTTGGTTACTAATACTGTGAGTTGTACTTAGCATGAAGTTATGATTTGCATTGCTGGTTACAGACAGTAACATTCAGTCAGGACTGATGATAGCAGAATGCTAACTAATCATACCTTACAATATTTACACTACAGCTTATTGTTTATAAAGCGCTTTCAAACTGAAGGCCCAGTGCAGAAGCACATACTTCACATCCTCTCCAATAGCAATAGGGGAGCAGACCCTCATCTTGAATTGCTTAAGTTCAAGGTCAATGCTTTTTTTTTTTTTTTTTTCCAGAGATCCTGTGCTTTGTCTCAGGCAGAATTCTTTGGAACAAAAAGTACACATTTATACAAATAGCCTTGCCAATTTGCAATGCCAATTTGAGCAGGGAGAATCTGGTACCTTACGTATCCTGTAAACGGTACAAATTCCCCCAGTGTTTCTTTTTAGGCTAGAATCCCAGTGTGGCAGGACTTGTTCCAAGTGATCTCAGTTTAGATATGTGGACTTTTAAAGAGGGGTTAAAGCAAGTTTCTGTATCATTGACTAAAGACACTGCTCTTCCACTTGAAAACTGTCACAATTATTTTTTTGCTAATGGCTTAAATTTTGTGAATTCAAAAGTTCAAGGCAGACTCATAAGAGGAAAAAATAATGATGCCAACTTTGGGATGGCACATTGGGCCATAAAACAATAAACAGTATGTGTAAGGCAGGCGTGTAGGAAAGTAGTCACAAATACCTACTTACCAAAATATTTCAATGACTTTTATAATGCGCTGTTTTTTTTCTTAAAGGACATTAATGGCAGTATATTGTAAAACCCTGACATATTTTATTTTACTTTCTAATAACAACTTTCTGAGCAGCTAGTATATTCCAGGAGCACTCACATTCCTGACAGCCCTGCAAACTGGGAATTATGATGCCCACACTGTAGAGGAAAAGATTAAAGTCTCTAGTTCAAGTTATCTGAGTTTGGGTAAATTAATTTAAATCAATATAGGTGGCAGACTCAGGCTGTCTGGCCTCCTGTTTTCTTTCAAGTCATTCACAGATGAGTTGTTCTGGGAAGAAGGAATCACTTGGCAAGCACTGCTTACTAGGGAGGAATATGGCCCTTTATGCAGTGAGAAATGCCCAGATCTGCCCCCAACCTGGCAACCCTGCCCATCTTCAGCCAAAACAAGGCAGTCGCGTTAGGAGAGATTATGGAGCCAACAAGGGCACATCCAGAAAACGCTCTTGACTATGTTTCGAAGGTGTATGTATTTCAGAGTGAATGAGATAATGATTTAAACGGAGGAAGAGTGGGCATTTTCTTTCGGCCCTTTTTGCCTTGCAATGTATAAGCAATCAGCTCAGCCTTGCAGTTTGTTCTATTGAAAGAAACTGGGTGCTCCAGAAAAGCCTGGGAGTTGGTCCTCCTGGGAATGTCATGGGCAACACCAGAAACCTCCGTGTTCACCCAGTTTGCAGGCAGGGCAACGCCATCCAGGGTCATGAAAATTTGCGCATGTTCTATGTCTGTCTGGTCCCCAGACCCGAGAATCTGTGCAGCAGCCATCCAGGGACCGGCATCTGGGAAAGAGGAATGCAGAGGCCTACGTGTCTGGCACTTGCCAAGTCTGCTCTTCCTCCAAAGATTTCTAAAATGTCTATTGTTCCTCAGAGATGTTTTTCCCCCTCTGTAATTAATTACTATGTGGTTGAGAAGATTCACAGACTAGCAGAAAATACTGAGAGCTGAAACATATGAAAACAATTAGAAAAAAAGTACAATCACGTGAAAACTATAATTCAGTTAAAAAAAATTTACTTCTCCAATGGGAAACACAAAATAAGAAAACTCAAATCTCCATGGCATTTTAATTCAGGGGAAGTGGATCTTGGTCCTTTTTTTATCCTCTTAAAAACAGAAATCCTGGCTTCTTTGGCATAGCCTTATAAGGGGGAGGTGGTAATCAAGTTAACACGATCATAAAATAGAAGAAAAAGTAGTTTATAGACTTTTTTTTAGACCAATAGAAACCAATAAATATTAACTGCCACATATTTATTAAGAAGTCCTATTTTCTGTCCCTTGGTGCTAAGATATCTCCTTATATACTGATTCAAAGGGCGCTTGGAACTTACAGGTTTTGAATCTCATGTGACAATGGAATAACATGCACATTTGCATTTTTTTAACATATTGTTTAAAAAATACTGCAAGAAGGTATTTGAGAATTCTTCGATGGCAGACAAACAGAAAAAAATGGTCTAAAAAAATAAAACTTGGCTCTTTGTCTGTACACACCTCCCCTGGCATATCACACACACCCACCTCTCACACACCCCTGCAAGTACTGACTTTTCCAGCTGAGAAATGGGCCTCATGAAATATCTTACGATTCCCATTGAGTCTAAAGATGCAATGCATCCTGATGGATTTATCTGGATGTCAAAAGAAGAGACTGATGTTACAATGCTTTGAGAGACATCAGCATATTTTGATGATTTATATTCACCAAGAATCCTTTTTTTCATGATACATATTTCATTCCAACTAAGCAAGTGGCTCCCACATTAAAACCAGGTCCCCTCGCCCTACGAGGACAAAATTAGAATGACTGTCAATTCTGTTGTGGCTTGCAAAAAATTAAGGGACAAATATACAGATACGCCAGGCTGGTGGCATGATACATATAAAACATTTACAAGTCAGCAAGCAGCTGAAAAAAAATCTGCCTCACAAATGAATTTCACGTGATTGGAACAGCTACACTGCATTCCTTTGGGGACATTTTCTGTATGCATATTTATCCTGAACTCAATTTTAAATGCTAACTTTGAGGCTTTCAGGTGTGATGATATTAATTGATCTGCAAACTGCAGCTTAACAGAGTTAATATGTATGGAACAGGTGAAAATTAAGCCAGGTAACACGGAAGGAAGCAAAAATGGCTATAGATATACTGGGTATATTAGGCATCAATCAGAATTACACTTATAAACTAACTGTGGTTCCATGTTTGTGTACTGAATGGGAGTTCTCAGGCAAGAGGTCAATGTTTTATTAACAAGCTCAGAGTGACTAAAATGTCCCAGGACACTTATGGAATTCCCACCCTGTGCCTGACTTCTTTTCTCTGCATCACTGCTATGCCTGGATATACCCCATCAGTTCAGTGCACCTCCTCATCCGCCTCCCTTTGGTCTTTGGGAAGGTCAAAAGATGACTGTGATGATGCTGATGACAATGTTCCCGGTAAATTGTAGCTTAAAGTCTTCTTCACAGATATGATAAAAATGAAAGTATATGTCTCAAAAATATTAAGATTACATTTTAAAATAGATTCATACTCTCATCTGTATTATTCAGTGCACACACCTCTTGTGTCCTGGGCTTTAAGACAGAGCAGGAAGTCCGGAAGATGGAACATGGGGAGACCGTCTGGCCCAGTCTGCGGTATAAGTAGATGTTGGAAAATGTAGAAAAAGTAAAAATTTGACAAATTCTTAGAGTCAAAATGAAAAAAAAGAACTTGGGTTCTTTTCTCTTAAAAAAAAAAAGATTCTATTATATGACTTTTCATTATTTCAAAGAGCTGCTTATAAAACAAGCATGATTTTTCTAGGATCTTCCAGGAGTGCAAACATGTTTCAGATTGGCATGATTGTCTGGGGGATCCCATGCACAGAGAAGTATATTTTTGGTTTTTTATTTATCCAAAGCTACTCTAGGATTAAATCCATCTAAGTCAATGCTGGGTATTTCCATTAAGACCTAGACCACTGAAGCTACCACATATGGAATTGTTCTGAGACATGGAAAATATTGTGCGAAATGTGCAGGAAGCAGACGCAGTTCTGTGGCCAGAGCACCTTACTCTGGCCACCAGACCAGCTGCAACTCACGCTGTAATCATTTCCCATCACTGACCCTCAGTTTCCTCTTCTGAAAAATCACCTGCCTTCTAAAATTAATGAAATGGCAAGTGGCAAAGGAATTTCAAGTGTAAAATTCCTATGGATGCCAATTTGTGACAGCTTCACAAAATACTACTTAAAACTAGAACTTCATTTTCCTATGGCTTTGATGGCTGAGTGGCTCCATCCCGTATGTAATATGAAGCCTTCAGGATTGTATACTAGTGCCTTTGTTGCCATTAAGAGAAGTAATTTCTCCATCCTTTATTGCGTGCTCCAGAAAGTGAGACAAAGTCAATCCTACTTACTGTTTCCTTAACATAAAGAAAACAAGTGGGTTTTTGTACGCCAGCCTAACTATGTAAAGAGTGTTCCCCATTTCAGGACACTGTTTTCTTGTGATGTGTGAAGTGATACAGTGAGCCATTTAGGAGTAGTCTCAAAACTAACAAGGCACAAACAACAGAAAAATAACACATTATTGCTAGGTAAATCCTGCAGCTCACAAATGACCAACCATATCAAGATCAGGTCTTCTCAAGCAGCAAGGAGGTCAGTCTTTACCTCCATTTAAAACAACCAAGGACTCAGCAGAGACTACTTGCTCAGAATAGGGGAGAGTAATGCACTGGGAATAGCAGGAAGCAGATAAACAAGACGGAAAGTCCAACTTGGCGCACAGATTTCAAACCTTTGGGCATGCAGAAAGCCAGCTGGGCCAGGCCTCCGCTGGCAGAGCTAACCTGGCAAAACGCTGTGCTGCAGGCATGACCTTGATTCCAGCTTGTTCTAGCCTTCTGCGTTTCTGGATTTCAGCAGCATTTTTGTCTTCAGACTTGGGAGCAGGTGCCACCTCAAGCGCCTCTGCAGGTGGCTGCTCCTTACCGTTGCGGTGGGGTGACTCTACCCCAGCATCACAAGGCTGCCCCTCAAGATGCATTTGGCCGACTGGGTCTTCTTCAACTGGAGACCCCATTTCACTTTCCTCCTCCTCTATTGTTTCAGGGTAACTAAGTGAGTTGGACAACGTGGTTTACCAAACTAAAAACTAGTCCAGGGAGTTAGTCACCTTTTACTCTTTCTGATATCACTTTTCGCTTTTAAAAAAAGTCATAACATGCAATATCATCTTGGTAATGAGAACAATTAAATCATCCACTTGTTAACACAATGCATAATACTCTAAACATTAAGAACTATTCCAAATGATATTGAAAGGAAAAATCTTTTTCTGTCAAAAAGGGAGAATTCATTAGCTTTGTTTAAAAATTAAAACTTTTAACAAAATATTGATTTAATGGAAAATCGTACCTAGTAAAAAGGAACAATAAGAAAAGTTTCCTTTATTAGGAAGTTACTTAGGGCAAGAATATCTTATTTATTATTGAGCCTCCAAAGCAGAAAGGTAGTGTTGAGCACACAGTAGATGTTCAGTAAATACTTGCTGAATAAACACATAGAGTTTAAGGAACGCATTGTTTGTTTTTGTAAAGAGATTAGCTACCCAGTGTACTTTCCATTTACTATTACCATTTCTATGTGTGATTATTAAGCTTGTTCCATGCATTGCTTATATCTCAATGAATTTGCATTGAAATTTTAAGAAGTCTTTTTTTTGCAGAAAATGTCCTCGACAGCTAATCTAACAGGATCAGGAGTTAGTTATTCTTCGCAGAAAGAAGGGAGGACAGATCTGTTTTCCTTGCCTTGTCAACACAACTGTCTTCCAAGATCCACTCCTTAGACAAGCATTTGTTAGATACCTACTGCTTGCCACAAACAGATAAAAGCAGTTTGACAAAGCTGTCACTTGATCATAATCAGCTCTCTCCCAGGATCTCCTGCCCATCTCCTTGTGTAATCTTACACTGAAGATCTGAGATAATTATTTAACCTCTCCAATGCCAGGAGCTTCACCAGGAAGGGAGATGAGCAGCTCAGCCTTACCTGAAGGGCCGCTCCCCGCCCAAGGGGGAGGTGGCGGTACTCCAGCTCTTCCTGTATTCCTCTCGCTCTGTTTTCTTCTTTCTCAGAGGAGCAGGGATATAAGCCGTCTGGTTGCTTTTGTTCGGGAGGTACTGGTTAAAAGGCACTGCTGATTTTGGCTCACCATGGGAAGTCCGCCTCGCAGACATGTCATCCTTCTTCACATCTGGTAGCTTCCGATGTGGCAAGTCAGATTCAGAGTCACTTCCTCTCCCTAGGGAAGGGAAAGATGGATGCTGAAGAAGCACGTTTGGCTAGCAGCGAATGCCCAATGGCACATCCACAGGATTAGGGATGTGGTTAAATCTGTGGGTTCTGGGGATTCCTTCCTTAAATTAATCACTTAACAAATCTAAACTATTAGTCTAAATTGGTCCACAGTTCTACAAAAACTACAGAAAGCTCTGCAAAAAGCTCTTAATTCTAATCAGGAAAAATAAAAAGCAAGCAACAAAATTAAAAATAGAGGTAAGTCTAATTGTGTCTGGAAATTACAACAAGAAACACATTTCCAGAAGAAATATATGCCTGCCGAGACCTTGTGACTCTCAAAAGAAAAGTCATCAATTCACCAAGAGTTTTACTGAGCTTCTCCTATACATTTTACATTCTGCCAGACATTCTGACAAATAAGAATTATACAGAATTTTGTCTTGGAGCTACCTTTAGCCAAACTATGAAATACCAAGGAGCAGAGAGATAAAGAACAATAGGAATTCAGAAAAGCATCCAATTTAGATTACACCAAGGGTTTGCTTTCTAAGAAGCGAAGGGATATTCCCCTGGCTCCCACAGCTGAGAACAGTCTTCTCTTCCAGTGATTTTTATTGCCCTCTGATCTTGTCTTGTCTTCTGGGGAATTATCTTTTCTACTTCACATTTGGAGAAAAAAGTATTCACAGTATTTTTTCTTAACCACATTGTCTTTGCCTGTGCACATAAAACTCATCTTCAGATTATTTGCTGAGTAAATGAATTGGTTTAGCTTACGGGTTGGCTCAGACAATGCTAAGGCATTCAGAGTTGCCAGCATCAGCCTTGTGTTGGACGACAGCCCCAATAATTAGACCTTATTCTTGTTTTCTCTCATTTCTTCACATTACATTTCAAATACCTTTTAGATGAAGCTATCATTATGACCAACACTATCATATAAGTAACTGCCACTTTGATGTTGGTTGAAATTCTTAATGAGTGACACTATTACAATATCATTCTATAGATAGTATAGAAATGTATCTATTTATACTTAAAAAAGAGAGCCTCCTCCTAAGAGTCAAGCAAAGTGTCAGGCTGGCATTGCAACTTATGTCAGACCTGCATAATTTTGAGCTCTGCTACTCATCAGTCTCATGAGATTTGGCCCACATTATTTTACAACTTACAACCTGTTTTCCAGTCTATTAAGTGGGATAATAATTTCACCTGCTTCACTGGACTGCCAGAAAGATTATATCCATGGAAAACTATCAGTACAGTACTTGGCACCAACTGTTCAACAAATGCTGCCTCTGTGCTAACAGTTCTGGACCTAACAGAAATGAGCTGTGGGCTCCTAGAGTCACCCGCACACTTTACTCTCTCTTTCTGTAAAACAGAGATAAAATGATTTCTCCAAATATTAAATGATAGAATAGCTTTTTAAAAAACAATAAAAGTTAAAAGCTTTGCCCATAAACAACTTGCTCATTGTCGTATGCAAAATATTCAGATTATGAATTATTCATGTGGCTTGCTTCTCCTCTCCCTTCTGAAATTTTGACCCTTTCATTACTTGTTAGTATTCAAGTATTAGCATTCATTACTCAGCCCCGTCCTACTCTCCCAAGCCCTTTAACTGTTTCAGTGCTTAATAAAACATTTACAGTTCTTTGTGAATTGCTTTATAAACAAACAGTAATACCACATTGCCTTGCCAAACCCATAGGTTTGTTTCCCTACTTGATATTATCCCCATTTTCTAAAGGTAAAAAAAGGTTCAGAGAGGTCAAAGAAACCCTCTCTCTAAAGCTGGGTAATGACAACTCTGAGAATCTAGTTTTTGTTCTCTGGACTCCCAAAGATCTTTCCTTGGTAACACACTTCTTTTGGGAAAATGATCTCTGTCTAAACTGTCCAAACTGAGGGGAAGTATTACACTGTACAGAATAACTGAGAGAGAATGAGTGTTAAATCAACTGTAAAAGCTTAATTACAGTTGTCTCAGGTCCTCCAATGTTAAAGCCCTGCAATGTATGAATCTTATTTGTGTATAATATTAAAATATATCTATATCGTGCCAATTAAAAGTCTCAAAATGTTGTTTCATACATAAGGTCTTTTGCCCCCATTATTCTTCGATGAATGTCTTCAACAGAGATTTCAAGAAATGTTAGCTTGCAAATATCTCAAGGCAGGTGGCTCAGTTGAAAGAGGTGTAGATTTACGTGCTTAGAAATTAGGTTTGCATTTCTGCTCCAATATGCAGTAGTTCTGTGCTCTGGGAATTTAAGCTCTTTTAGTCTTAGTGTGCACAGAGATGACAGTACCACTCTCCACGAGTGTAAACTGAAATGACAGAAAGTGCCTAAGAAGAGGCTGCCACGGCATGCAAGGTATGCCTTCAGGATGTCATTTTTCCTAAGGCTAGGACTTAAGAGATTTTGATTTCGTTTCATCTTACGAACATGGACATTTACTAGAGTGGTTTCTTCATGTATATATAAAGTTAGAAAATGAAATGGCACAGGATGATGGTATTATTTATCAAAGTCTGATCTTCCTTTCCATAAGGCTACTTTTTTCTCCTGTCTGGCAATTAGGGGGCTCTATTTCTTTAATATGTCCTCGTTATATACAGTACAATTCCAATATTTTGCTTGTGATTATTCCTCTACCACTTTAACTTATTCAATCATTATATCTTCTTTTAGAATTTTTCATATAAAACATAAAAATATTCCTTTAACAGTGCACTATATTTATAAAATATGGCATTAATTTAAAAGCAACTCAGTGGAAGATTTTGCAGCTCCTCTCCAATGGAGCTCATTAAGTGGCCTCAGAAGGAATGTTAACGAAGGTGAAAGAGGGATTGGTCATCTAACTAGCAAGAAAAGTTGGCTGAATCAACCCAGAGATTGATGGCATTCGCATTAGGAAGCTCTGTGTCCAAGTCACAGAATCCTGGCATCTCTCCTGCATGTACCTTTTGACTGTCTTTTCTGAATGTATCAATAGGTGCCAATAATAGTAAAATAAAAGGTTTCCACACTGATCCAATATAGAGCTGAAGAATTTCATGCTAGGACTTTGTCTAATTGGTTGTGAGTCTTAGAAAATAAATTTTCAAGACTTAAAACAAAGTTCTTCTAAATTTGGAAGCGTTTCTTAGGGCTAGCAATCTTCTTGATTAGCATCATTTAAAAAATATACCATAAACACTTATGAAATTCAACATGTGTGTGGCTAAAATTATACTTCCTTTTTTAAAAGACAAACTTAAAATGTGTTGTTTTCTTTAAAAACCTCATTAGGTCTTGATTAGTTTACAGAAACATAAGCCCTAAGGTATCAAGCTGATTGATGAAATCTGTGTCAGATACTCTTTCATGGTGGTGTTTTGCAAAGCCCAATTCCATGTTATTCCTTAGCAGGGGAAACTATTTGTAAATAGACTCTAGTTTATCAATCTTAATTACTGCAAACTACATTGTACCACAGAACATATTAGTATAATATTAGCAATCATCATTTCAAAATCTCAAATCTGTTCAAGATGTGGTTTGTTATAAATTCTGAACCCCATGAAGCTGGTGACAGAATAAAAGGTCTTAATCCCAGCACTCAGGAGGCTGAGGCAGGAGGATTGCTATGAATTCGAGGCTGGCCTGGGCTACAAAGTGAGTTCAAGGCCAGCCCAAACTGCATAGCAAGACCTTTCCTCAAAAAATAAAAGGAAAAAAAAAAAGAATAAACTGTCAAAAGTCTATATTACAAGTTAATTACAAGTTATAGAACAACACTGTGGAAAAAACCAATTTTTTAAAAAAGCAATTGAAACTATAGATGAAATAATTCAGTTAAAATACATTTTGTGGAAGCAAATCTACTACTTGGTTATGTTAAAACCTAATTAGATCATTGAGTTGGTATTTAACTTCAACTACTGTGGGTGGTACTTCAGAGGTCAAACAAAACTTTAGAAATGTTTTTCAATTGGCGTACAATAGACCATGGAATTCTTTAAGAGTCATACATTATATGGCCCTGAGGCTAATCTGTTTGGTAGAAAGTCCTAAACAAAAGCATCAGCTCAGTTATTTTAGAATAAAATATCTATTACACAAAGGTAAATTATGCTTAAGAGCATGGTAAGTTTTGGACTCATATTTTTTGAGGCTAATATCGGACCATTTTATTGAGACTGATTTTTGCCACTCAAAAAAGTTGGGACTATTACTTAATGTCTTGAAGGCTCATTTGTAAAATAAGGATAAGAAAGGAAAGTCTTACAAGCTCCATGGGAGAGCTAAGTGAGACTCTATGAGTCTCCAAATCTGTGCTGCAGATTAAACAACATACTGTATACTGTGTCTGATACTGTATGCGTGTAATACTGAGAAATCTGGGTACATTAAATACTTAAGTATTCTAGGTGTATAATTTTATAGCCAGAAAGGTCTTTCAGTCTTAGCTCAGAAAGCAGGCTTAAGTCCAGATAATACCATCAACCAAGTAATACAGAAAAAATAGAAACAACTAAGCTTTCACTAGGCTTTTTGTCTTTTTCTAAAGTTTGTGCTAACAGAGTCAAGCCACATTCACTTTCCACAACCACAAAGGTCCAAGATAACTAAGGCAAGTAGCTTCTAAAAGGCGGGCACTGAATATTGAGTTACAGGACCACACAGGTTTATAATGAAAATTGATCATTCCATACAGGTGATATAAAATCTATGGGATTTAAATCAAATCTAGCCTTGGGGCAAACAGGCACTTTGGGCTGTACACTACACATTAGTGGGCACCTGCATTATGCCAGCTATCAAACAGACTGCCAGAAATGTGCCAATGAAAGTTACGCAACCCTAAGTCTTGGAACTTTCATAAGCATATGTGATACATTTCCCATTTGCTAGAAGTTGGTCCATTGACACTGAGACAGTATGGTACTCACTCAAACATTTCCCTTTCTCATACCAGAGTATATAAACTCTAGCACAGTTTATGAGCTAATGTTCTGCACAGTGTCTTGACTCATTGAAGCCAAGGGAGAAATGATGTAACACATTTTCCAATAAAAGATATGCTCACTCATGCGGTGTTCATATAAATTGCTGGCAAAGCCAACCAAGATTCTCAGAACCATAAAAACCAACATTCAAAGACTTTTTCCACCAACTTATAGAATTACTGGGTTCCAGAAAGGTGGATATGGAATCTGCTGTCCCAGCAACCATGCAGTCCTTGCTATGATTAATTCTAAGATTTTCAGCTTAAGGTCTCTCCAACATACCATCACTGCTTCCCCTGAGCACTACATCTGGCGAAGGTGTCTGCCGGGAGCGGGAGCCAAAGGAGTCCAGGCTGTCGAAGGAATCATCCCTGCCGTGGCGAGGAGGGGAGAGGGAGTCACTGCGCTCAGAATCCCAGCAATCAATGTAGCCACTGTCTCGTATACTGCGTTTAGGACTCTCAATGTCATCAGTTTCCTGTTCCAAAACAAAGTAAAAGAATCACAGTCATCACTGCAACAGACACAGAGCCTACCAGAGCAGGAAAATCTGTTTCCAAAAATCCTGCACATCAAACTAGTACGTAAAGACTGTGGCAATCAGCTGTAGGAAGTATTAGCATCTACAAGTTTCTTCATCTTTCTTAGTCACATTTTCTTAACCTGAAAATCATGCACAGCATTAGAAACGATCCTCAAATATCGTACACCATAATGTTCAAAAAAAAAAAAAGGAAAAGAATTAAAAATAAAGAATCAAAGTTTGGATTTATAAGAAAGTAAAGATTAATTAAAACAAAAACGAAAAAGCAAAACCTTAACCTTGAGTTGTCTTTCAGAATCCATAACTGCATGTCTGTCCGGGACCAAGCCCCTAGCTTAGCCAGGCAACTGCTCCTGCTATCTGGCAAATGTAGGCAGCATTTGTTTTTGCAGTAGAATCAGCTCTGTAAAATCCTGGAGCAGCGTGTTTCCATCTCCTGCTACCTTGGAGGGAAATTCCTGCTCTGAAAGGGAGCTGTCTTTCTGAGGCAAAATGTTTAAAAAAAAAAAAAAAAGGCAATGAAAAATATGCAAAATGCTTTTCCTGATGCCTCAAAAGAATCCAGGCATGCTCTCACTCTCGGCCAGCTCTTGGCGCTGAGGGAGCCGAAAGCACTTGGGGCTGACCCACATGTTCGGAGCCGTGAGAACAATGGCTGTCTTTGACAGCCTGTGATTATAAATTCTTTCCAGCACAAGCGGCACATACTAAAACACTGAAACTCCAGCAGAAGAAAGGTCAGTCAAAGCCATCCTCACCCTCGGATTATAATAAAAGCCTTATTCCCGCCAGTGTCTTAGCATTCATCACAATAGTCCAGGCTGACGAAAACAAAAATAACTCCAGTCACTCAAAGATAAACCTCAGTTTAATATCCTCCAGACTGTTGCTTAAAATCAGGACTGTGGCTAACACCAGCAGAGGGACATGTTCTCATCTACAAAGATGGAATGTCACACTGTGGATTTCCTGGGATGCACATGAAGGTCCCTTCTGTGTTCCCAGTCAAAAGGATAAATAAATACTCTCTGTATTAGCACTTTTGGAAACTGGTCCAGACTGTCTAAGATGCCCATGGGAGTCAATGCCTTTGTAGGAAGTGCTTTCGCTGGCTGCTTCTATCAATTATATCCGGATTCTCTGACACATTCACCAGTGGGGGGCATTCAGGGGGATAACGTGGCTGTAATTCTCAAGATACATGCAGATTTTGCATCAAGAGAGGCCAGCAGATGAGAGGACAAGGGCAGGTGGAGAGGAGGACCCTGCAGCTTCCACATGGAGGGCCTGATTATTAATGCCCCTGAAGAATAGTTTGTCAAATGGTGTGGGTGAGCACAGGTGACCTCACCCTCCACAGGAAGGCAGACATTTCACTTACAGAAAGTGAGATGATTTATTTGCAGGTCTAAAGTTAACAAGGGTTTGGAATAAAGTCTGGGCCCAAGAGCTGAACAAGGAAGAACCAGTGGCTCACTGAAAAAGTATAGACCTACAGCAGATATGATTTTGAATTTAATTTCTTTGAAAATGTGAATCATTATCTTGAAATATTTTTCTATTGAGGATAGGTCACATGGCTAAAAAGTGAAGGCCACTTTTATGGAACATTAATTATATGTCTAGAGGTATATGCAATGCTTTTTGTACAGGATGTTTAGTCACAACCACCCAATGATGTGCTTAGCACTGTCCCTATCTTATAGAAGAAAACAATAATCAGAGAAGTTGAGTAACTTGAATGAGATCACACAATCAGTAGCAAAGCTGTGATTCTAAAACAAGATTCTGGCTCCAAATCCCAAATGGCAAAACCTAGAAATAGTCAATCACTTTTGATGCAGTTATAGCTGTCCCATTAGATGGTCTCTACCATCACGATATTCTGCTCTCCCCTGGGTACTTACTATCCCCTGTCACTAGGGATGATGCGAACCTGGATGACGTCCTTAGCTACATGTTCTTTATGACTAGCTCACTCAGCTATAAATATTGCACAAGCAGCACTGCTTGGGGTAATGATTAAGAGCATAGTAGGAAGCCAGACTGAGTTTAAATCTTGGTTCCACCCCATGCCAGCTGTGTGACCTAAGGCAAGTCTCATCCATAAAATGGGGCTGGTATCAACATTTGTCTCCCAAGGATGTGTTACTATATTGGAAGCATTTAGAAAAATGCATAATATAGAATAAGTAGTAATAACTGCTGCAGTGATTATTAGTATCAATTAATCACGAGACATATAACTGTCTATATACAAATTGCACACTTGTAAATTGAGTTAGGAAAACAACTCTACACACACGGTACTCTTTTTCTCTTCTTTTCCATTTCCCATCTCTACATGCCCTGGGCCCAGTTTCCCATCAGAGAGGGCAGACATTCAGAAATGTGAGCCACTGGTCACAGCTGGAAGTGACATGCCTAGGAGCTGCTTAGTGCAACATTATAAAACCAGAGCTTTAAAAAAATAACATCAGAAAAGTTTCACCCAAGGTCCCTCCACCCGCATCCCACAAACCACAGGAGAACAGCCAGGAGGAAAGAGAAAGTCAACATATTTCTTGGGAGCTTCAGCTGTTCCTCACAGCTAGTTATGGGAAAGAAAAACAGAAAGCCCACCATGTTCATGACTGTGCGGAAAGCCAAGAATAAACCCTTGGGTCCAGTGCATGGGCCAGGAGCTGAGTGCCAGTTTGAATGGTGAAAACCAGGCCATCATGGCTACCTCTGTCCAACCTGATGCCCCGGGAAGCTCAGGGCGAAGCAAGGTGGGCTGTCCAGCCAGAAAAAAGATGTGAGCATCTGCTGCACACACAATTCTGTTGGTCTTTACTGAGTCATCTAAAATGAACCATGGGGGCAGGGAAAAATTGTCAATCTCCACAAAGGGCAAGTAGTCTAGGTTCTTCTTTCACAGGGTCTAATTATATGGTCTATGCTTTTCACCCTGGAGCTGCGGAGCTTTCCTTCTTCAGCAGAGCACTCTGAGAAAGGGAGATCAGACTGAAATCAGTCTATTGTGCTAATTGCCAGTTGTTCTAATAAGAACGTGCTAATGAAAAGAGGAAAGCTACTAGCTTTCATAAACTTTTTGTATTGCTTCACTCTTTGCCCACTACACTTTGTAGAGAATATGAACCAGCTAGGATCAAGGGATGTCTTAGGGTATCTGAGAAACTCCTGACACCTCCATTTTACCTCTCAACATTTTCTGCTGCCTTTGTGATTTACAGTATAAGGTACTTGGGTCTTATTCCAAAGTGTCAGAGGGTCCTAGTTTTTCAATGTGATCACTTATTCTCCACTCACCCACTCGGCTGGGAAGTGATTCATTTCACAAATATTGACTCAGCATGTTTTATGGGCCAGGCACAATATTATGCAGAAATAAATACACTCCCTGTTCTTATGGGTATTTTTTTTCTAGTAAGAAAGACAAAAAATAAGCAGAAATACACCATGACCACAAAGTTGGTGAAAAAGAACGGCAGGTCGAGACGCTGATAGCAGTGTGTGATTTAACGTCTGTATTTGTTTGCTCATCTGTTCCTCCTCTTTATTTCTTCTTTCTGTTAGTGCCCTCACCTCCTGAGTCCACTCACAGTGGCCACAGTGGCTGATACAGGAATAGGACAGCACATCCACAGGAACGTAATCTGGGGCTGTGAGAAGTGTTCTCTTGCCTCTCTAGGGAAGGAGTTAGAGGCAGTGGACATGCTGTTGGCCACATTCCCTATCACAAGGGCATGTCTGCCCCTAGGAGACAGAATGAAATCAAGGAGCCATCAAAAGAAATGAGAAAAAGACACAGAGAAAGAACCAAATTGACAACCAATTGTAGCTCCAGTCCCTGAGATCTATATGGTACGTCTTCAATCTCAGAATTTTTGTACTAAAATTGTTCAGTTTAAATGCTGCTTTTGGGGGAGGCGTTCTGACATACTCAGGCTCAGAAAAAGGCCTCCATCACTCTGTCTGCAGAGACCATGTATGCATTACCAGCAACAATCTGTGACTATCTGCCATGTGCTAGATTCTAGGCAGAGGGATTTACATGCTCTAGGTACATGGCAGAACTTTATGAGTTGCCTTTAGTTAGAAATTTTGTGTATATTTCCTCCACTAGAAAACTGAGTATAAAATGTATCTGCCTATTTTGCTTTGTGAAAAGTTTTAATTAAATTTTTTAATGTTTCAAAATTATTTCAAATTAAATATGTATAAAAGAGACTCTGATATTCTCTCAATATTTGTCATCCACTTCTTTAGTAAAAACACGCATGACTTTCAGCTAAAATAGAGTCCACTTTCCCATGTCTTTTTCTGGTATATATGAATATGTGATTAAGTTCAAGTCGATAGGATATAAGCAGAGGTTTTCTTAGTATGATGTTGCTATAAGAGAATGGCACAAACTAGGTAATCTATAAAGAAAAAATTATTTCTCATTGTTTGGAAGGCTGAAAAGTCCAATGTCAAAGGGCTGGCATCTTGTAAGTGCCTTTATAACAAGTCAGAGGGCAAGATATGGTTAGAGAGCACACATGCAAAAGTGCTCACTTTTATAACAAAGAAAAATGAACCCAGTCTGGCATTAATGTACCCATGAGGGTGGAGCCTCTGTGACCTAATCACCTTTTAAAGACCCACCTCCCAACACATTGCAGTATTTTAACATAAATTCAGGAGGGGACATTCAAATAACAGCAGACACATGGTGTGTAACATCCCAGAAGTTTGTTTTAAGGAAAAGCATAGACTCTTGTTCTCCTAATGTACCTTCCTCCTGACTTAAACGTGGGCATAGCAGGAAAGCCTAAGCAGTTATTTTGAACTAGGAGGAGAAAAGGCATGGAGAAGAGCCCAGGCCTTCTGTCACGGGACAGGCCTGGAACACCCATGCAGCCCTGGACTCCTCCCGTCCAGGCTTTGTTTATATGAGTTACTGATCCATATGTTATCTACCTGTTATTTGGAGTTCTTTCCCACTTGAATCCAATCCTAAGTGATAAAATGAGACAATAACCTAAAGATAAAATGACTATTTCCAGCTGCTTCAGTAGACCAGTGAAGTTCAGGTCATTTACCTTCAACTTTGTATAGTGACAGGTGTGTAGTGTGGCTTGTCTCATTAGTGACAGTCATGCTTTGTTTAGGGGTATGAACCACAACATATCCTGCCATGTTATTAAAGAAGGTGATGGCTATTAACATCAAATCACTTCAACGGTCTCAGTAGAAAGGGAACCAAGGAGAGTTGCAAGAACCAATAGCTGGTCAGATTACAGAGGAGCTGGACTGGTGAGAACATTCAGTAATGAGAACAAACCAAACTCTGACATAATCCAGCAGGGGAATTGTGAGGTGGAGCTTCAAAGAGCTTAAAACAATGGCCCATACATGATTATTCATGTCCAAATTTAACCTATAAACAAACATTGAGGTTTCTCATATCCAGACTAGAATGTACCTTTGTAGTTTCGGTAAGGATAATGTGAAGAAAAATTGAAGGACAAATGAGAACCAAACTAAGAAACAACATGTTATGCTTTGTCATGAGGGTGTTTATTTTTACAAAAATTGAATTTAAAGAGCTTGTTTATGTGTGTCCTGCAGTATGCAAGCTTTGTTTATTTATCAGTACATGAGCCAGACTGGCTCTGGTCAAATGTAAAGACTATTAGTTTTAACTTAAGAAAAGAAGAGTAAATTATTAGAAAAGTAGAAGTTGCTTGCATTAAGTATTAAAAGAAAAGTTGTAAAGCACTAACTGTCTCTCAGTGAGGTCACATTAGTTCCTTTATTTTTTATGTTAGAGAAATGAGAAAGAACAAAGCCTCAACTATTGCGTTGAAAATATATCCTGATCCAGAATACATGGCTGCGGGTTACTAATACTTTGGACAAATTAGATACATTGCTGAGCCTCAGGAAAGAACATGCAGGCAGATACACACAAAGTACTCCACTAGCTCCTTGGCAAGATCCTACTTTACTCTTTCCCGAGACTGAATAAATAAATCAAGTTTTTAATAATGTTTGATCCAAATGTTTTATCAAATAAACAAATCAGCTTTACAAATATTTCCCAAATTTCTAGGTCACTCAAATACAATGGCCACATGAAATACATATCAGAACAGAATGCTTCTCTTTCACCAGAGTTTGTCTAGCTCAAGTGCTGAGTCCAGAACTCGGCTGGCATTACTCACCCACACCAAGGCCTGATGGGCAAACAAAATGACCTTTAGGCCAAAAGTGCAGAGCACATGTGCATTTTGTATAATACTGCATTGTTTAATCCAAATATTAATCCTCCAAGAAAACAAGCTCCTTTGAATGCAAATCTATATACTGAGAGATTAAATTTGCTCTTTTGGAATTAAAGTTGGGTCTAGTGCGGATTTTCTATTCCCCAAAGGGCATTAAAGTTCAGGTAGGTATGCGACACAGGAGGCAAAGATATCATTGGTAAGACAGTCATTTCTTTGACCATGTGATATCTTTGTCCTGTACAGTTTCACCATGTGGAACTGTAATAATCAAAACAAGAAAATGTGTCACTTCCCACCTCGTTGAAACCTTGCGACAGAGAAGAAGAACCAAGTTACCTTTCTCATCTGAGCCAACAATCCTTCAAACTCTTTCAGGTTCAATGTAGTTCCACTGTAGGACGTACAGCTGTTTGCAGCTTTGCCCAGCCAGTAAATGGTAACTAAGACCTGCAGAAGAAAAAAATGCACCCGAGCAGGAAAACATGTCTTCACAGACGATGTTTAAGCTAAAGAACAACAGTGCTTTACTAACAAGCAAGAAGAAGAGAATGAGCAAGGCTGATTTACAAAAACCTCCAGGCATGAGGGATTCATTAAATGTAAAATCATTTTAATCAGAACCACCCAGTGCTGCCACCATCAGCAGAACCTGAATCAGTAGTTACAATAAGACTTCAGTTTTAGGAAAAGTTAGGTTGTGAGAAAGTGATCCCTAAGTCAGCGAAAAGGAAAAATAAATCTTACAAAAATTATTTTCTTGCAGTGGTTTCAGAATTAGGCAGCCATATTTTTCAAAAAAATCTTTGGAGTTTGTACCTAGACAAGTTATGAAATGGACTCTCAATTCCCTTTGAAAGAGATGATTTTGAAGGCCCACCGTTCCTACCTGTGGACTCACAGGTTCCCTTAAGACTAATGGCAAAAATCCTAACAAAGTTATAGAGGTTAATTAGTGCTTCTCAGTATAGAATCAACACAATATATCTGATTAACACCAGCAGGAAGCAAAGCAGTGACAGATATGATCTGCAGATAATTCCCAGAGGGCTATAAATCCTTGAAATGGGAATTTTTAGCCTTGACATGATTCTATCGATTAGATAATCTGGGATATTTCAGGATTTCCATATTCAGGGGTCTGATGCTACAGTCTTAATTTGTTTTATATCTTTCCAAAGAGTCTGTCCATAGGAGCAAATGCTCTTCTCATTGATTCCCAGCAGGATTTAGCTAAGATGAATCCTCAGAGTTGACTTATAAGAACCTGAGGTTCATGTACAAACGCAAGACTAGAATTTCATTCTGACATTCTGTCTCACTGGTTCAACAAGGCTGGGAAGGACTTACTGTAACTCATTCCACTTGGTAGGCCAGAAAAAAGCTTTGGACAAGGTGATACATGTGTATGGTTCCAGCTGGCCACAGGCCCACTATATGGTTGTGTATATCAATGTTAGGATGTGACTCAGTTTTCTACCTCTGTGGGGAAATTTTATGTCATGAATCTTTCAAGACTTCCAGAAGATCTTTTATTTACTGATTGCTTACAAGTAAATTTCAAGGGAATAGACAATTCTAAAGTCAGGACACTGGCTAGGACCATAAACTAACAAATATGTACAGAGTGTGAGCCTGTCTTGAAAGGTATAATGGAAGCGAGACCATGCTGTGGTTTAGATTATGGGTTTTCTGATTTGTTGAAAATTGTATGAATAAAAAACGATACATGTCTTTAGTTATATGAAAGGAAAAAAAGATAAAAATGAAAATGTCAATCAAATAGCATTTGGGAAATTTAAAAAAAGATGACACAGTTAAGTTTTCTATTTTAGAGATAGATTACTTCTCACAATCTCCAATTTAAATTTAAAATGAAAAGCATGGATATACTTGCTATTGGAAAATAAGATTTAACTACAAATAGTTGATTTAGTCAAGAACTAATGAGAACTTCAAAGATAAAAGGAAAACAGAATACAAAAAGGGCAGGGCCAAGCAGTCAACACTATTCATATTATGCTGATTATTTCCTGAAACAGTCTGACCAATTGCTTAATTTAATGATCCCATCAGAGTCCACAAATGGAAATCAGCTAATGTTAGTGTAGAGCTGATCATTTTGTGTTTGAAGAAACTGAATCACAAACAGAATACAAGTTTTCATTTGTTTATTTCTGGATTGAGTACTGAATTAATTAAAGAGAAAGTCTCCCAAATCTACTATTTTTACTTCTATCACAGTCATTATTCTATTGAGATATATATTTGTTTTTCTAATAAGAACTCTTTCAACCAAGTCTATAAGAGGCCCTGAAGTTAGCTAAGTTTTATACTTTACTTGAGCCATTAAAGTAACAAGGACACAACAGAAGTTAAAACACTCACATTTTTCAGCTTCCTAGTATAATCAGGATTCCTAGGTTAGAAAAGGAAATATTCAGATTAGCCATTTCTTCACTCTGATCGTTTCTTAAACACCTTTGAGATGAAGTTAAAGTGAACACATAAAAGGAAATACAAGAATACAGTTAGTTTTTTAAAGGCGTATGACTGGAGATTTCAGGCATTGAATAAAATTGTTTACCACAACAAATAGGATAAGGTTGGAAAAGTTTCCACCATGTGACACAAAACACAAATTTTGCTACATATGCAAAATGAAGAATTCTGTTTAGAATTGTGACTATTTAATTTGAATTTTCAAAGTTTAGCAGTTGAAGATTCTGCCTGAGGTGAAATCTGACTGCACTTCCAAAATCTTTATGTAAGTACTTTTATTAAAGGTCTGAAATCTTAATAATTAAATAGACCTGAAGTTATGTGTAACAGAAGTAATACTATCCAAATATTTGTCATCTTCTGCTCTGGACATAAATTAATATTGGGAATCAGCCCAAAACATGAAAATATGCATGTTATGTTCAAAATACAAACACACGTTCTCAAGTAAACATACATGTTTACTCTTAAACTATAAGCAACAGCAGTATACAGAAAAACATTAAAATTTCTCCAAAGTTATTTCAAAGTTATATTAACATGACAATCAATAACTACTCAAAGAATTTCTGCATCCTTTAATTCATAGTAACCTCACTGAGGGGAGCAAGAAATAGAGAAATTATATCAAATAAACCAGTAAAGAATTCCATAAACTATTTAGAGCCTGATTACCTCACTACAGCATTTTCTGCCTAAGTACATATGAGCACATAGGTGGGCAACTTCAAGTCAATTGAGATTTAAAGGACCAGAACACTATGGAGGAGATAAACCCATCATCAAGCACTTGGGTTAAAAGAAGCATTGATCCAATGTGGACTGGGTTAAGAATATGTTCTCATAGTTTTGGTTCTCATAGAAAGTGGAGTGCAATTAATAGGAAAAAAAGATATGCCATTATTTGCTTAGACGTCTACTAGATTTTTTTTCATTTAACAAACAAAAAAGTAGATTTTTAAAAACTTATAAACATCCAAACTTTTTATGTAAAACTAAGGCCACTGACCTAGGGAGCTGCTGACCCAGGGCCACACCCTGATCTCCCGAGGCTTCGTTTTTGTATGTGAGCAAAAAGATTCCTACATTTCTATAACCGATCAGCCTTAGACTCCCCTAGTTTAGTAATTTATTGTTAAAAGTGGTTCCAAAAAAACCCAAATGCAGCTGCAAAACTCAAAGTGAACTTTCCTTCACACTCCAAGAAATATGTGTATGATTAATTATTGCACGGCATGCACAGTTCCTACTGCTTCTGGTCACTAGCGACCAGGTGAACCTATGAATGTCAGATGAGGCAGAAACTAAAACCATTTCCTCAAATGAACATGAGTTTATAAAGGCCAGATTGATGTTCAGTAATAAGTGGAGCATGTGATGTACTGAATGAGGATTATGGTGGTTTTTATATTCATATCCTAATTTTTATTCAGTGAATTTTCTACTTAACTAAATTTTTTTGAGAAATACTAAAGAATGGTACATTGACAACAGATAAATAATTTTAGATGATCAGTCACAATTGACTCTTCCTTACTTTCAGTCATGAATCATAAAATCCAATATAAAACTTCAAGCTGTATTTCATTAACAGATTCCACTTCAGCCTATTTTCCCATTATATTGTTATTGTTGTGGTTGTGAAATCAATATCAGGAAATACTATAAAATTAACAGCTCTGAATTTAGGCTTCTCTCCCTTTCCTATTTTCTTATAATAAAATGATCTCCAAAGTTCCCAATCCACAGACCCTATCTATGCAATTCAGCTTATTAGTAAAACCCCTTCTTGTCAAACATTGCTCAGTTAAGGCAGAAAATATTTTACAGGAAATCAGTAGCCTCTGAACATCTTAAATTACAAGAAAGTGACCTGTGCCATCTCACTGGGGTATTTCCTCTCCTTACCCTGCTCATAAGCTAGTTCTTTACACAGAAGTGTACTGTGTTTTCTTTCATTCTGATACTCTTCTCCGGGGATACTTTGGCTCCAACCTTGGCTCGCTGAGTCATTATAGTCAGTAACAGCCAAAGGGCCAGTAATCCATCTGCACAGTTTGATCACTGACACATATGAGAAAAAAAATTACAAACAGAAATGAAGGAGAGGGCTCTTTTTTACATAATAAGTAGTTTTGTAACTTCTTTTTTACATAATAAGCAGAGTTCAAAACTGTTTACCTAGTTTGTGGTCATCCAAGAGGCTATTCAAATGTCCAATTGGAGCCAAATAAAAGGTTTTTGTCTGACACACAAACATTCTGTGCATATTTTCTCTTGCCTCTGTGTTAAGCTCTACTAAACATTTTTCTCTTCTTCAAAATTCTAACTCTATACGTACGACCTGTATTTGAAAAAAATCTGTCTGATCAGAATGAAAGCTACACAGAAGGACAGCATGCCTTGTTTTGAAAGCTTGGCTTATCCTTTGTATTTTTATTTTATTGGGCATACCCAATTCTCTGCCTCTTAGAGCTTACAAAATCATCATAAAACTGCATACCAAACCATCAAGGTGTTGACCTTTAACATAAATCGTGCATTACTTACTTGACTGTTACCCTGCTGGAAGTATCCTGGAGGTCACTCGGGTCAAAGAGTTGAGATTCTTTAAGGCCGAGCTCTTTACAACCTCTTAAGAATAAGATGATATTATCCTGGAATGAAGAAAAGACATCCAAGTCCATATTATGGTAAATTATCATTATGAACCAGCCCTTTACTGTTAACAGCCCAAATTTCTGGAGGCATACCATCCACTGAGACTGCTAGAGTCATGTCCAAATCACAGAGTGTTGTATAACAAAATTATGCTTTGTTAGGAAATGCCAGAATAAACAGACATTCAAACTTCCAAACACACAACCATGCCAAGTCCATTTTTCCATTTTAACTTCACACCTTTGAATAAAACTGCATTGTAGAGGAGAATTTAGCATCTTTTTAGGGAACAGTATTTTTTAAGGACTAGATATTCTTCATTACTTCAAGATTCTTTGCCTATATCTTGTTGCCTAGAACCAGATTCGAATTGGCATTAAAGAAATAAGAATAATAATTTTCACTAAGAAAGAGATTTTCTCATCTTTACCACGTTTTTCTTATATTACATGTATATACTCAGGAGTAGGATAAAGGAGTGTGAGGAAAGTCTCTGAAAATAAAGCAGTCTTCTCTGAAAAGGAAAATCTCCCCTGTAGGTAAAAACATACTTGCACCAGCCAAGTGGCAGACAGGACTGGAATTGAACAGACAATTAAGAGGGTTCTAGTCTTCCTCTGCTGTGATCATCAAGAATGGATAAAGGGTTCTGAAAGAGAATGACAATACGGGGCATCCCAGAGCTCCAGGGTGTCAGCCAACAGGTTTAAAAGTTACAAGTATCTAATTGTCCTCTTCCTAAAAGCCTTTGAAGGTGCCAGCTGACTCACTAGTTGGTGAAGACTGCAGGACAGGGAATGGCACCCATAGGAGCCACATCAGCAAGAATCCATCAGATACTATCGGAAAGATGCCACACACATGCAAAATGAGGATTGTGGTTACCAAATCAAGTATTCACCCAACTGCAGTGCAACAAAAAGACCAGAAAAGGTAACTGTTTTCGATTCTCCATTATTTAAGCAGATTTCCAGGCCCTCAAGAAGCCTGCTCTCTGCTTCTCAAGATAGTGCTCCCAGTGTATGTCCTATGAAATCTTCTCCCCTTGACTATGTGTGAAACCTGTGAATATGATGGATATCATTCTGTGGTTATATTCCTAACCAGATGGCTCCAAACTAATCAAAAGTAAGATAATCCAATTGGGCCTGAGCTAATGAAAGGAGCTTTTAAGAAGAAAAGAAATTCAGAATTCCCACAGGCTATGAATTCTATAGCTGCAGAGATGAATTCTGTTAACTACTGAATGAGTTTAGAAAAAAAGATGCTCAGATAGGCTCTCAGCTCCAACCAATAGCCTTGTGAGACGCTGAGCAAAGAACCTAGTTATGCCATATCCAGACTTCTGACCTAGAGATGATGTGAGACAATAAAGTCTTAAGTTGGTAGGTTTCTGATAATTTTTAGTGAAACAGTAAAAACTAACAAAGTCAGATTCTGCATAATGATTAAGACCAACAGCAGTAAGTTTCTGACCAGTCTGCAGTCCATATTCCATGCCAGGCATTCTTGCAAGAGTTGTACATATATTAACCCATTTAATTGCTACACTGTCTTATGAAGGTGATACGGTTCTTTCCTTCCCTTATTATATGATGAGCAATCTGAGTCCCAAAACAATTAAGTGCTTTGTTCAAGGTGATGTAGCCAGCAAAGGACACAGGTGAAAAACCCATATGGTATGTCCAAGGAGCTTAAGCATGAACTCTAAGCTGAGTACCCTGTAACGAGGCAGCTATGGAGACAGGGTGATCACAAGGGCTTTGAAGTCTTGGAAGGCAGGCTGCAGGGAGGAGGATGGGAGTGGTCTGTATCTGAGACATAAATGCCAGATCAGTATTTGAAGGAGATTGTTGGGGAGCAGAGCCAGGAGGAGGAGACAGCATAAAGAAAGCACTTACTAGGGGCAAGACAGCAGACAGGTGGCCAGTCAAGTGACACTGCAAACTCATTTTCCCCCACCAAGATACCTCCATCCCAGCAGGTTTTCTTTCTTGTGCCCTGGGCTTTTTCAGCAGGTGAGACGTCATTATCCACAGCCCTGCCACCATCCATGGGACCTCTATCAACTAACTGGTGAGCTGATCACACCATATCTGAAGCTGACCATACCTTTACCCACCTCTTTTTTATTCCTCACATTTTTAAGTGATCAAATTTAGGAGTTTCCACCCACTCCCTGAGTTTACAGATTGCCACTTTCTTACTGATATATTTTTCAGTGGTTAACTTTGTCAGGGAGAAATCATTTTGTCCCAACACTTCTGTTATCACCTGTGAAATAATTTTCAATTCCTTTTCAATCTTTTTTCCCAGTTAACTTTATTATCACAAAATATCTCTTATTTATCAGTGAACTTGATATGTCAATATACTTGCTGCCAGAAAATGTGTTTCCTCAGTTTCCAAGCCTCCAAATCGTGCCACACTGCTGCTCAGCGACAGCAGGACCAAAACTCTTTCTCCCTGGAACTTGGCTATTCTCATTGCTGTGGAAGCAGCATTTTGAAGATGAGGGGCACATGAGGGTATCTATTTGGTACATTTATATATAACTGGTTGGATGGAAAAATGGGGAGGAAAAGAAATAAATGCACCAAACATTATTTTCAGTATATTATAAGCATGCATTGATGTAACATTGCTATAATAAAGTATTGTTGAAAACTCGGGAGAAAGTTTCTCAATGTGAGACGAAAGCCTTTGTCTTTCTACCTAGCTTCTACCTAGAACATATAAAGAATTGAAAGAAAACAAAACCAGGCCCCCAAATTCAAACACCCAATCCAAAAATGCACTTCTCAGATGAAGAAATGGCAAATAAATATTTGAAAAAATGTTCAACATCACTGGTGATTTGAGAAATGCAAATTAAAACAACACTGAGATCCCATCTTGTTACAGACAGAATGAATGGCTATCATCAAGAAAGCAACCAATAACAAATGCTGGAGGGGCTGTGGGGAAAAAGGATCCCTTCTCCACTGTTGGTGGGAGTGTAGACTGGTGCAACCACTGTGGAAATCAGTGTGGAAATTTCTCAAAATACTAGGATTGGAGGTCTCATTCGATCCTGGTATTCCCCTTCTGGATATTTTCACAGAAGAGTTAAAAAACATCATATCACAGTGATATATGTGCACCTATGTTGATAGCAGTACAATCTGTAACAGCTAAATCTTAGAAACAATCCAAATGCCCATCAATTGTGGAATGGATAAAAAATGTGGTAATTTTATACAATGGAGTATTACTCAGCTACACAGAAGGATAAACTTGAGGCTTTTATAAATAAATGGATGTCACTTAAGACCATACTCATCAGTGAAATAAATTAGACTTGCATGTGTAAATATCATATTGTCTCCCTAGTGTAAAAACTGAATGAGTAAATAACATCCAAAATATGCAATAGGGACTAGGGCTTTAGCTCAGCAGCATAAGCACCTGCCTTGCAAGCAGGTGGTTGTGAGTTCAATCCCCAGTACCGATAAAAAAAAAAAAAAAAATATATATATATATATATATATATATATATATATATATAACAGATATTGTGAAAGTGAAAGGGAAATAAGTTGCTCAAAAGGAAAGAACAATGTGGGTAGGGGTAAGGAGAAAAGAAAGAAGGGAAGAGACCATATATATATATATATATATATATATGCATGTATGTATGATAGATAACTATATTACTAATCTCTGTTAGTTCATCAGAAAGAATGGTTTGCACTTTCATTGTGTAATCATTTTCTTCATGCCTATATCTTGTAATCTGAATAACTACTTTGAAGATAACAATACGTAATATATTAGCCCATTGTTAATCTCCTATTATTTTGTTTTGAAATTCTGTACCATAGGTTTTATTCTTTTTTTAATTTTTAAAAAAACCTTTGTTTTTAAGTTTTAGTGACTATTTTTTAAAATGTCAAGAAAATAGGTGCAAGATCAATGAAGATTTTAGCAATCAGAAGAAGCATTTTCTGAATGCTGTAAAGCATTTTATAATTCAGTAAATGTGCCTTACACTGAGTATTTACCATGTGCCAGTTTGTTCTATGAATATGTATGAATTATCTCTTTCATTCTTAAAACAACACAGATGGTAGGTACTATTATGGTCTCCATTTTACAGATCAGCAGTTGAGGCTTAGAGAAATTATACACCACACCCAGTCACTCAGCTCCTGAGTCTGCCCCTCAAATCCACACAACACATGGGAATAAAGTTTCTCTGTATGTGACAAATTTAAGTCCTAAAAGTTGACAGTTCCTTCTCTTACATCTCCACGTTTTTTGGTGCCTTATTTATTCTGTTTCTGATATTTCAGTTTTAAATCTTTCCTTTTTTTTCTTGCTTTTTCTCATTCCCTCTGATTTTCTCCTTCATGCCTGCCTCCTACAAGCACACACACACACACACACACACACACACACACACACACACACACACCTGTTTCCCTGTTTGATTAATTTGGCTCTGAGATTCTAAAAGGCACCACTGGCTTTCAGCCTTGACCAATCCTAAGTATATCATATTCATAAAAGGGTGCATCTCTCATTTGTAATTCCCCATTTCAGGAATAGTAAACAAATCCTTTAACTGCTAAACAAGGCAACCCCAAACCAAGACAGTGACTCACACAAATGCTCAGGTGAGTTTTTAGGAGGGCATGTGTGTCCTGGTTTGGCCTGAAAGCTCTGAATTATGGGTGTTACTACTCTCTAGGAATCATGGGAAGACACCATAAAGGACAGGACCTGTGACGCCTCTCCATAGTAAATGTACAGTGGTGGCTCCCCAGATTCTCAGAAAAACCAAGAAGGAGCTCTTCCTATGAGCATTCCCAGAGGCACAGAGGGCCCTGGAACCCAAGCACCACTCAGCACACGCCTGCAAACATGACAGCCTTGTGCTGCAGCCAGCCTGAACAATTAGGGCTAGAGGACTTGGAGAGCTGCAGGTCTGTTTCCAGCTCCTTGCTGCAACCTGAGGATGCTGGAGGGGAGCCAGGCCCCAGGCAGGAGAAGAGCCAGAAGGAAGAGCCACCAGCCAAGAGCTAACAAGGACAGCCACTGGCCCAGGCAAGGGCTGTGCCTCTAATTACACAAAATGCATTCCGAAAATTCTCATCTGCCTTGCTCTTCACACTGAGATTTTTTCCCCCACATTTGCAATTTCAAGCAAAACCCACATCTTAATGTTTTAAGTTCAGAAGCCAAATTGTCTAATAGTGTCTCAATTCCAAAGGAAAAGAAGTGGGAGACACTGATTTAGTGTAAGGACTAACTAGTGCAGAGTTCACAAACCCATTAACACTTAGTAATCTTTATGTGAAGTTTTTAAAGCACTTTTCAAAGGAGCCAATTTCATGTAAAGACAAACACTGGTGATTAATGAGCCATGCTGAAGAAACGCAACGCACAACTTTTAACTAGAAACTAGATCCAAAATGAAGTAAGGCTAAAAGTCAGATTTAAGGACTATATATTGAATAATATCATTGAATGAATGTTGGTTTCATTAGTTGTGATGATGATAATGCAGTTATAGGAAAGGATGGTTTTATGTATGTGGAGGACAGGTACATGCTCACAGATGAGAGTTAGGGAGAAAGGAGAGTAAAAATCAGGAAGAAAGGGAAGAACAGAAGCAAGGAGAGAGAGAGAGAGAGAAAGAGAGATTGAGAGAGAGAGAGAGAGAGAGAGAGAGAGAGAGAGAGAGAGAGAGAGAGGCAAATATTAACAACTGGTGAATCCAGACTGGGGAAGGTAAACATTGTCTGTGAAGGGTCAACTCATAAATATTTGTGGGCCACATGGTGGTCCTTGTCAAAATAATTCAACCTTGTTTTTGTAACCAGAACCTATGCAAACAAATGTGTGTGTCTGCATTCTGGTACATTTTCCTTCAAAAGCAGACATGAAGCTGGATACAGGCCACAGGTGAAGGGTGTTCAGTTATTTGCTATGACATTCTTACAACATCTCTGTACATCTGAAAATCTTCCAGAAATTGTGCAGGAAAAGGTTCTTAAATGTATAAACACAGATTTAACTAGGTAGCATTTGGATTTTGCTGGTAAAATCCATTCAACAAAATTCAAGGAAAAATTGTTGTCACCTCTAAGCACTGAAATCGGTCCTCAGCAAAAGACAGAAAGTTAGCCTTTCTGGCCAAGGAAGAAGGTACTGCACTATGGGCCTCAATTCATCACAGAGGTGTAACAGAAAGTCCCTGAAAGAGTCCACTTTGTGCCAGGCTAGTATTAATAGATGGATTTAAACCAGTATGTGCAGAGCTACTATGCATTAAATCTCCTAGTGGTTCTCCATTTCAGTAATTTGTGTGCCTGTCCTGCATATGAGAAATTTCTCCAGTGGTCATAGTGGAGACCTGAGCTTACAGCCCTCCTGGGGCCTCTTGTTCCAAAGTCCTTTGTGTACCTTGTTCCCTTCTCTTCTACTTCAAAGCCAAGACAAGGAAAGGCTCAGAGTAATCTCTACCATGTGGTAAGTCCTCAGCATGTAGTAAGCGTTTACTAAACAGTTAAATAAGTTCAGTGCAGCATGCTAGGTATTCCTCTAGGTACTTAAGAATAATGAATAAAACAGAATTCTTTAGTCTTCACAATTCATCAAATACCTAGATTTGTTCAAGATACACATAAACGTAAGTCTGATATCAAATTAGACAAGTGAGGGAATAAACATATCCATGGCTACAGCATAACAGCTTTGTAGTCAGAAGGACTTAGAATCTCAGCCTTATCTGCTTATAAGCTACATTGTCCTTAGGCACACTTTCTGAACTTTCTGATCTTCATATTTCTAATCTGTAAGGTGGAGAATATTACCCATCTTTTAGAGATATTAGGATTATAGAAAATACACATTAAGAACACAGCCCATGGTGTTGTACGTCCAACTCTGTGGTTGCTTTCAAAGTTTCACTTAACCATGGTCAACCATCAGATGAAAATATTAAGTGGGAATTTTCAGTAAAAAAACAAAACAAACAAACAAAAAAACAGTTTGCGAGTTTTAAATTAGGTGCTATTCCGAGTAATGATAAATTCTCATCTCACACCATTCCATCCTTCTCAGTCTTTCCTTCATCCAGTGTTTCCATGCTGTATACACCACCTGCTTCATAGTTATCTCAGTTTTCAGCCAGCTATTGGGGTATCAAGTGCTTGTATTCAAGTAACTCTTATATCACTTAATAATGGCCCCAAAGCACAAGAATAGTGATGCTCCCAATCTTATTATAGTACATTGTTACAATTTTTCTAATTTGTTATTAGTTAGCTATTAATCTCCTACTGTACTTAATTTATAAATTAAACTATCACAAGTGGGTATGTATAGGAAAAAACAAAGCATGAGAGGTTCAGTACTTTTCCAGGCTTAAGGAAGGCATATGGTCAGGGGTCTTTGAGTACATTCCCTGTAGATAAAGGAGACTGCTATATACAGAAGGCATTGTTATAACATTCTTGTCCACCAAGTCAGGAAGATGACATAAAGAGCAGCTTATCTATATAATGTATCCCTGAAAAACAGACACACTATGGGCACAGCCATTGCTAGTTACACAGGAGACCATTTTAAAAAAGAAATAGTTACTGCTATTGTTATTGAGGTGTTGTTAACCGCAGTGTGGCACGGTTATGCAGGCGATCTCAAATGTAAGAGCAGGCTAGTGTATCAAAGGTTCATGTGCAAGGTAGCTGCTTGTAAATCATCATGTGTAACTATTACAAAGAAATAAATCCTTGCAAGTTCAGTTCCAAAAATCCTACTTAATCCAAAGTGCACATTAAGGGGTGCTTATTGCAGAGGGAGGAGAACTTGTCTGAGGGAAGATGTGCTCTGAAATATCCCGTGTGCATCTGCTGCTTGCTATGTCGGATCAAGGACCCCAGCAGCTTTTGTTCATGAAAGAAGCTTCCTTTCCCTATGACAGCACTTTGGGAGAGAGGGACAGAAGTAGAGGGAAGGTAGGTTAAAAATGCATTTCATAGAAGCTCCTGAGACCATCACTGCCCTCTGCAGGCCTTTCTCCCTCTTTTATCAGAAGGCAAGCAAAGATCAGCTTGTTTTCCCCTTTTCCAGATGTTGATTCCATTTGCAGATTTTTCTCTCCCTGACTGACTGCAGAAAGCAAGCAACTCTCTTGCTCTGAGGCAAGCACCTAGCCTTTGGCTGTTCTCCGTGGAAAACGGGCAGGGATAACAAGGTCTCCTGTGTGCCCACTCACCTTGGCTTTCTTTTACATCAGTCAGGAAAGATCAACATAGAGGCAGATTTAGAGTTCACAGAAAATGAAGCCAACACACATTTGGGTTTCAAATGAATCTATACACCTCTATTGCCAGGTATAAATGCAATATATACACAAAGCATCCTAACAAATTTTAGCTTCTATAAATGAAAAGACTAGGTAGAAAATATCAACATACAAACTGAGATTACCTCTGCTAAATATATCATTTTAAATCATTTTAATGATACATTTTGCTATAAAAGCCTTCATAAGGATTAACATACCATTTATAAAGATTTTCAAAGGTAGCAGAAAAGACCCAGATCTTGTTAGAAAAATCAATAGCTAATATAAATGTTAATTTTCTATTCTACCTATAAGAATTTTTAAAAGCATGGTTTTTATTTGGTTTTATGCATTGGAAACAAATTTCCCTTAACAGAAACGCAATTTAGAAATTTAGAATTTGAGGAATACATTATTAAAATATCTCCAGGAACTTACCCCATCATTAGTAGGACTTGGGGATTTCCTGGCCCTGCCGTGTGTTCACAGTGAGTGCCCCAGCCTGTACGGGTTCCAGTCAAACTCCGGGAATTGGCCCATGTCCAACACCAATGAGAGCTTGCCAGACTGTCAGTGCAGTTTTATTTGCCAGGAGCAGTTAATGAGGATACCAGCCCTTCTACTGAGAGGAAAGAGCAACTCATTTTGCCTGGGGGAATTCTAGGGTGGCTTGACCCAGAATGTGGCAGCTTGGTGGCTGGTGAAGTAAAAGCAAAAAAAATTTATGGATGGGAAATGACCAAAAGGATGGCAGATTACAGAAGAAAGATTGGAAGACTGGAGGGAGAAAGGCTATGAAAGGTAAGACTGAGAAGGGCCTTAGGTGCCCTGGTATGATCTGGATGGTTCTCCCAGCAGTGGGGAAACTAGGCAGTTCATGTGCATGGAATGAATCCTGAGATCTGACCTTAGTCTTAGGAGAATATGGCATGTTCAGCAGGAGAGACCTACTGAGTGGGGAAGGCTCTCCCAAGACCTCAGGGGGAGACAACTCAGAGGCCATAGGAGCAAAAAAGATGGCGGGATGGAAGCGCCTCTCTTTGGTTTGGCAACTGAGTAGATGTGAGAATTGATAATGAAGGGAGGAACAGGATTTTAGGTGATGCTAAGGCTTTTAGCCATTGAGATCATTTTAAGAAACAACAAGAAGAGCATTCCGAGAAAAGAAACTAATTTACATTTAGAACACTTTTTACAGAGGGCCATATCTCGTTGGGAACTAATTTTTAGATCTGAAGTTGAAAAGTGAGGCCCCTGCAGAATGACCTGGGCTTGGGAATCACAGCATATGCATGCATAGGAAGTAGAAGGAAATTAGGATGTTTGCTGGCAGAACTCAGAGAACAGGAGGGATCACTACGGATCTATCCAGAATACTGACATTTTTAAAGGATGGTGGGGATGTGGTGTGCATCTGTAGTTCAGCTACTCGGAAGTCTGAGGCTGGAGGATCATTTGAACTCAAAATTCAGGGCCAGTCTGGGCAACATAGAGAGATCCTGTCTCAACATGAACAACAGACATAATAAAGGACAGCTAGAGGAGCATAAGTCCTTCGTGCCTGTAGGGAAGCAAAGTGAACAGTAGGACCAGGGAGGCCAATGCCAGGGGAGACCAGTTGAGAGCACTGTATTGGGAGCACTATGTGTCTAGCATTGATTTCTCTCTGGGCTGCTTTATAAGACCTCAGCTCTACCTCTTATTAGTCAAATAACCTCAGGCAAGATGTCAACTCTCCACAGCTGCAGTTTGTCTTCTAAAAGCCCAAGTCTTTCAATGGTTTCCCAAGTCCTACAGGATCTCTTGTACCCTCCCTCTATGATCATGGGTTCCCTTTATGCTAACTTAGCCAGGTACAAGTCCTCAATGGTCCTCAAACTCACCAGGTGAGTCCCTGCCAAGGCCTTTGGACTGGCAGGCGCATCCTCCCTCACATTATCTAGAACAATATCTGGTGTGTAATTAGTAAGCACTCAATAAAAATGTGTGGAATAAATATGAAAATGAGAATACTCATCATAGGGTTGTTGTGTGGAGTTAAGTAAGAGCATACATTTAAGTCCCTAGAATAGAAATTTTCCACATACAGCAACAATCCAATAAGCATTTCTCATAATATTATTTGTTTTATAATGCAAACTGTTAAGTCATCAATGAACATATTTTCTGACTTGAAGGACATTATTAACTTTTAGGAAGAAATGAGATAACCAATTCTAGAAGTCAGTTTAAAAAAACAATAGTGCAAACATACAGTTACTCTGGGGATGTTTAGCAGAGAAGAGATTATGGTGTGTGGTGGGTACAAAGAAGGCTGGCCAACTGTTGGTTTTAGGAAAGCTACAAGAAAAAGAAACAGCTCTCTCCGAGCTCCTTCTGTCCTTTCAGACACTGATGCTGTTGCCCACTCCACTGGAGGCCCGAGACATCAGTTCTTCACCACAGTGATCTTCAACTGCCCATTACTTCTGCCACGCTGATGGCGGACGCTGGCACCAGAGTCTCAGTCCACCTGACAGGTGTCTTTCCTTAAATCTTATATGGGCAAGCTGGCCTTACAGTTCTTAGACTTCCTCAATTCTAACAATTTCTACTTGCATATTCCACTTGCAGGTAATCACCATCACCCAGGCCTGCTGAAGGACCTTGAACTCCTACATCATACTCTTTGAGCTCAGCCCCTCTCTCCTCAGGTTTCTCATTCTTTCTTTCCCACATCTGCTCTCTAGACTTCTCCTTCCCCTCCACCCACTGCCCTCTGCCCTTGTTGCCTTATTTCCTTCATGACCCATTCATTCCTAATTCATATGATAGTTTAATTGCTCCTCTGATTATCTTCAACATTCTCCCCTCTTTATCATTTTATTAGGGAATAGCGGACAGAGAAAAGAAATCCTGCAGGAGGGACAATTAGGCACAGTGGCTAACCTAGCCACTGATGGCCCTCCCTGAAGTGAGTTCAGTTACGTATCTACACGGAGGGCCATCAACTAGAACAATGTTCTGGGCCCTCACTCAGCTCCCATAGGACAGAACACGGCTCTGCTGGCTGTGGATTTCCTCTCCATGGAAGACAGTCTGTCTGGAGGACACATGTAGCTGTCTCTGTCATGTAATAAGGGGCCTCTCACTGTGGGAGAGGCATGTGGTTGTCCATCTGTGCTTGGAATGGACAGATGCATTTGTTTAATTGAGGATTAGCAACCTTTTGCTATAATTTGCTTCATGAGAAGTAAAGCTAACATTTCTACTTTTATCTGACTCCCATGTTCATATCTCAGTTGGAAGGTAAAAAGAGGAGTATTATTCATTGGCTACCTTAATCCCTAACAAACAGATTCCAGGGCTACTGGAAATAACAGTACAGTTGCTAGATTTTTGAGCTTCAGCTTCAGTGAACCCATTAGACAGATGCACTTGGTAGCTTTTTAGGCATCTCTAGTCAGCTCCCTTCCTGGTCCTTGGAGGAGTTTGTACAAACATTCTCTCCTTTCTTCAATCTCTTTGCCTTCACTTCTTTCCTTCAACTCACCCATCCCAAGACCTGCATCTCAAAATCATTTTTAATAAAAAGATAAAATGGGATCTTCTAAGGCATTTTGAAATAATCTGTTAATATTTTTCAACAAGAGTAAAATGTGAATCTGGGTTAGCATAATGATCAAAGAGCCAAAGATTATATTAAGTTCGTTTAATGCTAAACATTTTACAGGGTTATAATTCCATACTTACCCTATGAAAGGCAATGTGTTAAGTGCCTTGGCAAGGAAAGGGTTAACATAGTGCTAGACTCTTATTTGCAAGTGAGAGAAAACCAGAAAGAAAATGGGGGATGCAGATCACCCCTTGAAAAAGCGGAATCCAAGTCTCTTGAGCATGGGACCCAGACTTTTCATCTCGTCTGCCCACTCTGCATGCTGGCTTATTGGCTCTCACTGCATACAGATTTCTTCCACATGGGTCCCTTAGTTCCCAAGTTTCATGTAGGAAAGTGGTCACCCCCTGGGAGGCCTGACTCTCCCTCTGACTTGCATTTGAAAGAAAATCACATGAAAAGATTCATTTTGATCTGTTTAGAGTCCAGGTCCCTCTCATAGTAGCTAATAGGACAGAGTCAAAGAGACCATGAATTCTTTCACTAATTAGGAGAGGAGACATAGGATATAGGGATAGTTCCCAAGAAAGGAGAATGTGATTTCTCAGGAGGAGGCAGAGCACAGGGAATATTGGCTGCATTCACAAAGTGGTTTTTTCTCTAAGTTCTTTTAGACCAGAATACTGAATTACTTCTAGCATTTTAAAGGTAAGAAACATGATCAGTTAAGATTTCGTTTTGTTTTAAAGACATTCTTTTGAAAGTCTATATATTAAGCTGCCTCGATGCCCCAAAGTTAATAGACCTAACCCCACAGAACAAAGCTAAGCTACTTAATTAACTCTGGAACAGCTTTTCAGGTACAATTCTCTACCACCATAACGACTGCAGTCTAATTTTTCTTACCTTGTGGGACATCTAGAAAACTACGATGCCCAATTGCAAAAAGGTTTTATTCCTTCTTTTAGTTCCAGACTCTTGGTCATCTATGTAGCACCTATTTCTCCTCTCAAAGATGTGACCTTTAAGCCCACTTGACGATCAACAGCATAGAACATCTTAGAAGAACTGGGAGTCCAGCCTATCAGGAAAACTGTCCAGACTCCATAGACTTTGGCCCTCTAAAAATTATTGGACTATTTCCCAAACTACTTAAACTATCTCTAAAATTCATCATAAATATAAAAATGCTATACTATAAAGTTGTTTCCCAGCATAAGTCACTAATTGTGCTTTGCAAATTGAACGAAAAATAGTCTGAACTTAGAGTAAAACTGTTTAAACTACACTTCGTTAAGTAATGCTCATATATCTGGTTTGAAAATATGGCTAAAAGCAGTGACAAATGTGCCTGTGGGCTGCTATGAGTTTGGGACACGTCCACAATGAAACAGATGCAAAACTGCTCAAAATTTCTAAATGCTCATTTAAGAAACTTTTAAAGCAATTTGGCATTGCAGTCACATTCAACTGCGTGATCAGTAGGCTCATCTCATGAGCAGGGAATATACTATTTGGGATGTTTTCAAGTCTGCATGAGTAAGACATACACCGTGGTGAACTGTGTAGTTAACGGCATAATTAATCACATTAGTCTGTACTGGACTGATAAACAACCATAGTGAAGTGGAGATCAAACACAGTGAGATATCAATGCACATTCATTCAAGCAACTATTTTAAAAAGAGCATTGGTGACAATATAGAAAAATTGGAACAACTGTGCATTGCTGGTTGAGAATGTTAAAAGTTATAATTGATATGGAAAATACTTTGGGGGGGGGGTCCTCAAAAGAATTTTTTTTAAAATTTGTACCGGGGATCAAACTTACAACTGCCTGCTTGCAAGGCAGGTTCTTATGCTGCTGAGCTAAATCCCCAGCCCCAGTCCTCAAAAATTTAAACATAGAATTACAAAAGGATTCAGCAATCTACTCCTAAATAGATGCATAAAGGAATTGAAATAGCACAGCACTGCCCTGGAAAATGCAAGGTTGTGATTTAAGCCCTGGCTAAAAAAAAAGAGGAAAGAAAGAAAGAAAGAAAGAAAGAAAGAAAGAAAGTAAGAAAGAACTCAAATAGAAATTTGCACAGCAATGTTCATATTCATAATTGCAAAAAAGTGGAAACAATTCATATGTCCTTAAACAGATGAATGGGTAACAAAGTGTGAATAATAAATACAATCTTAAAAAGGAAATTTTGATATATGCTAGAATAGTTGACATTATGCAAAGTGAAATGTCAGTTACAGAAGAACAAATACAGTTCCACTTATATGAGGTACCTAATATAGTCAGATTCATAGAGATGGAGGATCAAATAGAGGTTATCAAGATCTTGGAAACAGGGAATAATGGTAAGTTATTATTTAATGGACCCAGAGTTTCTGTTTGTGATGATAAGAAACGTTCTGAAAATGGTGCTGTATGTACTGAGTGCTTGTGTACCCCCAGAATTCCTATTTTGAAACTTAATCCTCAATGTGACATTTGTGGGTGGGGCCTTGGGAGGTAAGCACATCACGAGGGCAAGCCTTCATAAACAGATTCCAGAGGCTGAGGCAGGAGGATTGTGGTAAGTTCGAGACCAAATGAACTCAATGCTACCCTGACTGAACTGAATAGTGAAACCCTGTCTCAAAAAGAACATCCTTGGTTTCTCTGCTTTGTGAGGTTACGGCAAGAAGATGATCATTTATGAACCAGAGTCTGGCCATGCACAAGGCCTTAGATCTGCTGTTGTCTTCATCCTGGATTTTTCAGCCTCTAGAGTTATGAGAGATAAATGTCTGTTTTTTAATTTTTATTTTTATTAGTCCATGTTTGCAGTACATAACGATTACATTCCTCACAAGGAGTTAGTACATGTACTTAATACCTCAATCTTTTTCATCTCTTTCCTCCCTCAAACTTCAGTTGCTTATAAGATATTTTAATATTTTTAGTATTTTTTGATAGCAGCCTGAATGGCCTAGACACACAGATGGTGGTGACAGCTAGACAACAGTGTCATACTTAACGCTGCTGTATTGCATACCTAAACTGGTTAACATGCTAACTTTATTGTATATTTTATTTTTTATTTTATTTTTTGTCTTTTTCCTTTTTATCAGTACCAGGGATCGAACTCACGACTGCCTGCTTGCAAGGCAGGCGCTTATACCACTAAGCTAAATCCCCACCCCCTATTGTATATTTTAATACAAAAACTTCTTTATCAGTAACAAAATTTTTTTTTCTTTTTGGTGCCAGAGATTGAACTCACAAAATTCATTTTTTATCACAGTGCAGGGTGCTGGAGTATATGTCCTGTGAGAGTCTAGGTGAAATAAATGAGAGAACTGTGGTATGCAATATTCTACAAACCAGAGGCTTCAGTGCTTTGACTCGTGTTTCTGCAGAAATCCTTATTAATAAACTCTTTCCATAAGGACTTTAGAATCCTCAGTTTTAATGTCAAATTTCTAATTTCACAAAACACAGGTTCAGAAATGCTGAGCCAGATGAACTACTGAAACAGGGGTCAGACTTTAACATAAGAGTCAAGTAAGAGTGAGATAGTTGTCACACTTCGATGTGGCCCTGTCACCCCCACTCTCAGTCTTCCATCAGTCCCTGCCTCGACAGTGCCAGCTCCAAGGCATACAAGACGGATGGGAGTCAAACAGCAAGGGTTGTATTCCTCTACGAACCCCTCAAGCTTCAGGATGTGTTTCACACTTGTCTCTCCAGGCTTGCAAGTTAAGGCAATGATTTACTAGTTAGAGGTGACTTCAGGAACAAAGTCTTTCATAATCTAGGGCAGGCATGTGGATGACATTTAAAAAAAAGAAACAGGCTTTTAGGATCTAAATGAGTGTGCGGTGCAGGATCCATATCGATAGATCCAAATACCATCGCCCCTATCCCATTTAGAGGTCACAACCTCTCTACTGAGAAGGGCACTGAGCTAGCAAGAAAGGAAATGCCACAAAGTAAAGAGCCAAAAGCAACCTTTGCACTCATCCACATAGACTGTGACCTGAGTGGTTTAAGCACTTAACATTTTCAGCTGAAGAAAAGTTCACTTAAAAGTATCTGCTAATACTAAAACATAAATGAGAAGGAGGAAGCAAGAATTCAAAGAAAGAAAAAACAAAAGGAAGAATCTAGTTGAAATGTCACCACTATTCCTTTCATCCTTTCAAGTTCATTAGGTTCTTAATCCAACTTGGGGCCGCCTTCATGATGGCAGTTTCTTTTACTCTCTGTAATTCAAAAAAGGTGTGGAGGAAAGACTGCCTTCAAATAACTCTACATTCTCAACTTAGTAATCATACACAAGTGGAAACCACATTTGGTCTTCAAGGAATGTTTGTAAAAAATATACTCAAAATAATAAATTTTCCACGGACATTGGCTTCCCCTATCCAAGTTAATGTTTGGCCTAATTTATACAATAAATCTAATGGGCAACTTATCTCTCCCAAACAGCACGTAACACATTCTTGGCATCTAAAAGGAGTTAACACATTGCATATGCTGCTCATGTTCACCAAACAACATATCTGAGGAAAAAAGTCACCAGAAGGGAGAGAAGGGTGAAAGAGTGAATTTTGGAATGCAGAGGGCCACCCATGTGGCTGTGAAGGACCCTGACTTGACACCCCTCTTGGATTTTTAAAGATATACTGACATGTACCTAAAGACAAAAAGCACTGAGGCCCTGTAACAAATTTGAGGCCTTGCAATTTCAACCACATTTAGTTCCAGCAGTCTAGCTCCGAGTCTGAATATATAATGACATAAGGAGAGATCACATTTAAAATGAGTTCAGCACAATTACTGGTTGAAAGGAACAGAGGTTCAGTCTAGAATGATGCAAAAGTTCTGGAAAGGAATGATGGCAATAGTTACCCCACAATTGAATGTATTTATTGCCACCTGGGTACTTAAAAATGCCAGCCTCAGTCCTTAGCACTGTAGACCAAAAGTTAAAACAGTAAAACTTATGATATATCTATATCTATATATCATATGTATATATGTATGTATATATATATATATATATATATATATATATATATAGTTTAACACAATACAAGAGGTGAATTTAGTTATATTCCAAGGTCATACAGTGTGTCCATGACAAAGCTAAGAGTTATGTCAGAGTCAAAAGCCAATAAACCTTCCCCTTCATCTTTTCTGCATCTACAGTGATAAAGATGATGGTGACAATGATTCTAAATATCAACATCTTCATTATTGTTAACTTCCTGGGTACTTTCTCTGTGTCACACATTATTTTAACCAACTGACGTATATTTACAAAGTTAAGCTTCCCCTCAGCCCTATGGGAAAGCATTTTCTACAAGGGAAAGTAAAATATACAGAGATAAAACAATCTGCTCAAGGCCCCACTGGTAATGAATGATGGAACCAGGGTTCAAATCCGGGCAGTGTGATTTCAGAGCCCCTGTTCTTTATCACATTGCTGCACTGTCTCCTGGCACATAAATTTTAGCACATGGGATATAAAGACATAAACGTGATCTGCCTCAAGATGCAGTCATCAAGAAAATCAATGGGCTATGAATAATGTTTAAGTGGGTTAATAAAAGTTAGTGCACACCTAGCCTCTGAAGAGGATCCCCTAGAGACCTGCTCAAACACCAGCTTCCATGGAGTCTTCCAAGCTCCATGCACCACACATCCTCCTCTCTTGGCACGGCTCCACCTGGGCCTCCACGGTAGGAGCTATATGCACAGACTCTGCCTTACGGGTAAGGTCTATGACTTCATTATAGCATGGGTGATCATGAGTGGGTTCAGACTGTTCACATACTTGCTATTTTAGCATGTGGCTAGTGCATTGCATGTTTTCAGTGTTTAAAAATCCATTTTGAGTAGTTTAAATAATATATTAATTGCAGCAAGATTCAATGCAGCCAACATATGGAAACAACCCAAGTTCCATTGCCCCTCCGGATGAATAGATAAAAGACATAGAGTATACATATTTACAATGAAAAGCTATTCAGCCCTGAGAAACAAAGGAAATCCTATAATTTATGACAACATGGATAAACCCAGAGGACATTATGTTAAGTGAAATAAGCGAGACAGAAAAAGAAAAATATTGTATAATCTCACTTGTGTTAATTACCTGGATTAGTGTTATCACTTACCAAGCCCATATAGACAACCATCAGGCATATCAAATCATCATGTTGTATGCCTTAAATACATATACAATTTAAATTTGTCAATTAGTCTTGAACAAAGCAGAAATACCATTACCATTTATCCTTTAAAGGTTAGCTTGGTAACTGTCTAGTTCTGGAGTCCTCGCCAGGGCTAACTCCTTAGCTGTTTATCTCATCTAGTCTATAGTAACTGACATAGTCAGGGTTTCTGTTTCTGGGATTTAAATTTTTATAATTCTTATTTTGTTAACAAATCATTCTTCTTAGCTGATTTCAAACTTCTTGCCATGAGATTGCTTGCTACAAGTCTCAAAATAATTTTAATTAATCTTGTTTCAATGGGTTTCCCACTTCTGTTTTTCCTGGCTTTGTACCCTTAGTATCTCATTTTCCCCATAATTGGGCTTCCAGGGAGATTATCTATTTTACTGGTCTCTCCAAGAATGTGCTTTTCAATTTATTTATCCATTCTCTTTCTTTAAATTTCAGCCTTCTCCTTATTAATTTACTCTTGCTAGCTCTTAGGTTTACTTTGCTCTTCTTTATTCCCTAAGCTGAATAATAAGTTGTCCTGTTTCTCCATTCTTTAATAAGAGAATAGAAAATTTCCTTTGAGTGCTGTATTCACTTCTGCATTTAGACTGTACTGTGCTTAGAAGTTTTGATAACAAAATAAATCCTCTTTTCAATGTCTTTCCTAATAACTTTAACTTTCACTTGGGTTTCCTTTTTGATTCCAGGGCTATCAAGGAGTATGTTTCATAATTTGCAAATATGTAAGATTTCTTAAATTGTCTTTTGGCTTTTTTTATTTCTATGTTCAAAATGTGGCCT